AGGTGCTCGTACTTTTAGTAAAGAAAATCATCTTCCCAACTCATTTTCTTCTTTTAATGTTGAGGTGCTCGTACTTTTAGTAATGAAAATCATCTTCCCAACTCATTTTTCGTCTTTTAATGTTGAGGCGCTCCTACCCCCCTCTCGCCTTGTCTTGTCTTGTCGCCTTGTCTCGTCTCTTGTCTTCGCTTCTCTTCTCTTTTCGTTCTCGTTCTCCTTCTCTTCTCTTCCCCCTCTTCGTCTTTTCCAAGCAGGCCATGCATTGGCGCACCGTCGCGCGTGTAGAAAAACGTATAAAAACCTTGGTTTTTCCACGCGTTTTGCGGGAACTCGCTGCCAATTGGGTTCTATATCGCTTACACTGTCACGGCGTTATTCTAGGCAATGGCTCTTACACGACTTCGTTCTGACACCGCAACCTGTGCACCTTCCAAGTCCTGTCGCGCACAAGCCCCTTGCAACCATTTCCTCGCTACTTTTTTTCGCTTACATGTCGCTTTTGCAGAAGCTCTGTGTTACACACGCGCTCTCTGCAAGTACTGTTCGCTGCCCACTCGCTTTTACACCAGCGCAGCTTTTGTTTTTGGCCAGTTGCTCTCCACTTACATGGCTCTTACACTACTTCGTTTTGACGCCGCACCTCATTGACACAAACATCTCCAGCCAGCGTGCATGTTCCAAGTCCTGTCGCGCACAAACCCCTTGTTTTCACGCACTTTGATATCGTACACTCTGTTAGCTAACCTTTGCATAACCTGCACACAAAAAAACACAATAGCTACACACAGCTACACACGCCCGGGCCATGGCGACCAGCCGTGCGGGCTCGAGCTGATGGCCGGCGGCATGCCGAAGGCTGTAAATAAACTTGGAAGCATTGGTAAAAATGTCAGTAGTGGATGGATGATGGAGTTGCTTCATCTACCAACAACAAAACAGGTTCTACCTGGCTGCAAAGGAAGAGTGGGCACACACTGTCCACAGGAGATCAAGGTATCATAACGTACACCCAAGGATACTGTACCAACTGGGGGATCCTGTGACTTGTTCACCTCGGCACACTGTTCACTACGCTGTTCCTCTCTTGCCAGGCACGACGTTTCACCAAGCTTCAGAAACGCCAGGGTACCTCGCAGCTGTCCTCCACGTTTAAACAATTCCAGTCTCGCCTTAGGCTGATCAGAGACCTACCGAAAGTCAAGAAAACTGCCAACACGCGTCTTCTCGGGTCACCAATTGAGGCCGAATTCTTCGGGTCCAAGAACCATTCAACAACTCGGAGACCTGTGAAGTCGGGTGCTGGTATACAATATGTTCTTATTGCTTATAGGCATATCCCGTCATACGCTAATTGTGGATGATGTTACCTACCCTACAATTCCTGGCCCACGGTTCCCTTGTCTTAGGAACTAATTTTAGACTACAACACCCAAATCAACCGAACTCTTCTTCATCGTCCCTAGGATTCGAGCCACCTTAAATTTAGTAACTTAGTAGCCTAATTAGCCAGGTCATCCCGAAGAAGCATCGTACGGATTATACCAAACCCAATCAAACATCTTTATATAAACATATTCAAACGTAACACCGAGCCGGTCGACGGAAAACACTGAAGACTCGGACGAACTCGGCACCCCGGCCGGTGCCGGTGCGATCCGCGGGATGGCCCATTCATCCACGATCCATGCATGGCCCATAATAGCGTGACAAAGCGGACTCGAGTCAGTCACGGCCGGATTGGCAGTGAACACTTAAACCATCGTAAATGAATCAAAGACCTATCATGGATGTCTGGTTCCGTAGCTACGTAGGTGGCCTGCGGATCCACTAGGGCAAAAATACCACACTGGCTCGGGATGGATGGCTGGGGGGCCAAAAAAGCAATGACTTCACCTGGAAGGATGTCCCATCCAAAGGAAAAACACCTAAAAACACCATGATCGGCCTTAGAGAGGAAAAGCCGGAGCCTTAAGCTATGCCAGGTCGCTCTCTTCATCGCCCCCATCGCCACCAACGAGACCGCGGGCCACGGTTGACCACGGTTGACCCGTGTGCGTGGGATGCTAGGCCTGAGCGTAGGATGCACCCAAGTGTAAAGCGACCCTTGATGGACATCCTGCGGAATGGGCGGTCAGTTCCGGGAATAGGTCGGAAGGAAGCCTACAGCGCCCATTGAAAGCTGCATGGGCCAAAAAATACCCTCATGTCCGTTGTAACACTTATGTTTGAAAACTGCTGGAAGACCAAGTCTAACAAAGGAATCCCTCATCTTCCAATCTCCTTTCAGAGGCCATCTGTCTTCGTTCGGAAAAAAAGTTCAAGAAACACGGCCGCCCACTACGTTGTGTGGGGCAGCCAGTCGGTATTTCGACAGCATCACCCACGGTCCGTCGGTGAGATGACCCAGGCACGACGTGTTCTACGAGGTTGAAGGCCATCATCGGGAAGTCAAGGTCAATTCTTGGTACACTCCGACTCACTAACATGGAAGTGGAAAAGCCCCTGTTCCTAAAGGAAAGTCGTCTTCCAAGGGAGCATTTTCCACTTCCATGTTAGCGAGTCAGAGCTTACGAAGGCTTTGAGACCAAGAAATGTTCCCGAAAGTCAGTCACGAGGTCTCGGGCGGAAGCGACGCCAGTGGGTGGCTTCATAACATCGGCCCCCATGACTTGGTTCATTGACTTTTGAGTCATCAAGGGGCGTTATTTTGGTTCATAGATTTGGTTCATTGTTCATTGTTATTTGGTTTCATTGATTTTTCAGATCAAGGGGCGTTCCATCTGGAGACCGAACTAGGTCATCTCTCTTGCTTTCCAGTTAACCAGCTGGTGGAGGCCAAACAAAAGGTAAACACCCCAGCCGCAGCAGCCGTTCATTGGCAGCCTGCCCCCAATGCACCGCTGTGGTGTCAACGCGGCCGAGACGAACGACCTTCCGCCCACTGGTGAAACCTCCCGATCTCTTTCACCCAATTCTCACCCTCCTGCCTGGAGGCTGTGACTAAAAGCCCTCTGTGGGGGCTACGACTGCGTGAGACTGGGAGAACATCCATGGCGTTCCATGGTGCACAATCCGCTGACTACCAGCACTGAAGTCACCTACTATTTCCGGATGGTTCGTCGATGCGTCTGACCTCGTAAGCGTGGGAAAAGCCTGAAAAGCTTTGAGTTGTTGTTTGTTTGCAAGTTGCTGCTAGCCCCTGTCGATTCACATTTGAACCCTTTCAACTATCTTCTGCCACCTCAGGCTATTCCAAGTTCCAACAGCTAGAGGTGCTGGTTCTTCGCTTCCAAGAATCCTTTCCACATACCCACCAGGGAAATGTCTGCAAAACACATTCACATCATCGTTTCAGGTGTTTGTGGACTCTTCTCCTGCTAAAAACTTCAAAGAAATGAACCAAAAGGTGCCAAAGTTGGGCCACGCGGAGGCGCTTCCAGCAAGCCGAGAGTGCTAGGTGAGGTTAAAAATACGACGCCACCTATCCCCCCCAAAGCTGCTGCTCCAAGGAGGTGGACACACCTCTATATACATAACTAGTAAAGAGCTCGCCATTGGGTTGGAGGCCATCGCTATTAGGTTGGAGGCCATTGCTATTAGGTTGGAAGCCTTCGCTAGTAGGTTGGAGGCCATTGCTATTAGGTTGGAGGCCATCCCTAGTAAGTTGGAGGCCATCGCTATTAGGCCAACTTGTTGAACAAACAAAGAGCAAACAAACGGTGAACATGTTGACATGGGGCAAGGTGTGGCAATGCGGCAAACTGCAAACTCCTTCCATTCCATTGAGCATTCACAACAGGAATCCTGATGATTGTTGTTGTAATACCTGTAATACTCAATGCTCCCAACCATCAACATGGAAGCCTCATGTGGAAATGACTGTGCCACTTGGAAAAAAAGCAGTGAAAACTATCGAAACTATACTTTCCCATACAAGTCATGAGTGACTCCGACACTTCCATGTTTCTTCTTGTGAGACTCTGTGAGACTTCCAATTGTAAAAAACCAAGGAATCCGTGTTGGGGGCCCCTTTGACCGATCAATCTACCGGAATGCAGGGCAAACCCGGTTGGCCGTTTGGGTCTATCCCAGTGCCAGTAACCGTGGATGAAGATGCTTAGTAAGGTCCTTTCTCTAAAATCATAGTGATAAATGTTACATTTGGAAGACTACTTTCCTCTAAAACCCAGTGATTTTCAGGTTCCATGTTCATCTTCCCGGGTGTAAATGTTTGTGGACTGTTACAGGTTAGTACATTTCATAGGACAGACCCAAGGTGATCCGTCACACGCGATCTGATCCCATAAGTGTTTCTTCGCTTCAGGGATTCGTCGAGTACTCTGTAGACCACTTGGGCATGTCCAAAAAACAAATCCATGTCTTTAGGGAATCCAAAAGAGCCACAAGCAAGAGTTTCAATTCAGATACAGGACTTGCTTCCACGCAAAACAGGCCCTTTCACGTTTGAGGAAGGCTTGATATCCCACTCTCCCACTATCCCTTAACAGTGCGAACCAGCCTTCTAGTATCCCGCTTGGAGCGTCCATCTTACGCCGCTGAATGAACGCTACACTTGCATGGTTTCTCCGATTCTCTCTCCCAAAACCACTCAAAGCACCTCAGGAGGTATCTAGATGGGCGATGACGGGTGTGTATTGAAATAGATGTCCCAAAGACCCCTGGAAAAGGGAAAAAGTGGACGACCCCCCGGCTGGCTGGCTGAACCTCTCCCCCATGACAGGAACCCTTAGCGGTTTGACCAAGTTTCACCAACGCAATCACCGGACAGCATCCCAGCGCCTGTTCATTGTCCATGTTGGTGATGAGAGCACCTGCCATGTACGGCCCTGACATCCTCTGTCGCGCTTCCGATCCGGAGGACCTTTCGTCGGATGTCGGCCGTTTCTCCAAACGGGACTTGTAGTTCCTGTACACGGTGCAGTTCGATCAACTCGATGCGCACAGGATGGCACTCGATGGCCCGTTTCGGCGGACCCATGGTTCTCTCCGGACCCTCCAAGCACCTTAGTCTAGGGTGTCAAACTAGGGAAGAAGTAACAACACACAACCCTAAATGCAACCCATTTAACGTTCTGTTAGACCAGATTTTGACGACCAATCTGACTGGTGTCCCATGGTGTTCCACTATTAAATGAACATAATTGAACGGCGTACCTCCTCGTCAAGGAAGGTTAGGGACATTCCGATGTTCCCATGTTTTCCCTTTCCGAACGCCCCCCAAAAAAGGAACAATAATGAACCAACCCACGCCCGACCGCGGGATTCTGCTGATTTAGTCTTGGGGGAAGGAGTTATAAACAGGATTGGACTATCGTCGATCACAACCGTTTTGTCAGTTAACCAAATCATGAGAACTGCTCAACCCCTGGACGTAGGAGTTTCACCATGCGAAACCCACCGTTCATCAGTCATCATGGTACCCAACGGCCGAAATTCGCGGTGCTTTTACAGGCGCCTGTGTCAATGAGAGCATGGAACTGTCCCTGTGCCACTCGCTCTAAGAGCTTCAAGGGGCTCCAGTCAGGCTCACAAACCTGCGAGTCGGCGATCAAACGCGTCGCTTCTTCATACGAGTCGTGATTTCGGTGCTTCGTGCCGGTGCTTCGTGTCGGTGTTTTGAACAACACCCAACCTCTAGCTCCCTGAGAAGAAGGACGAACGGCCCACATAGGCTGCATGCATTGTCCAGGTGCACAACCACAGTACTCTGACCACATAGCAGAAATGGTTCCAGAATGGCCAGTTAAGGGATGTGAACATGTGAACGTCGATCGCATGGACTCCTTCAAACATCCCTTCCGGACTCGGCGCTTTGGGATGCTTGAGTTTCACCGTTTGGCGGGGTAACTCTCTTTTTCGAAACCAGTCCCTCACTAAACGGGGCACATGGTGCAACCAAACAAGACCCATTTTGGAGCTCGCATGCACAATGATGCCTATGTTCATTTGGAATCTGCTATAATAGTAGTAGTAGTAGTAGTAGCAGCAGCAGCAGCAGCAGTTAGTAGTAGTAGTAGTAGTAGTAGTAGTAGTAGTAGCAGTTAGTAGTAGTAGTAGTACTAGTAGTAGTAGAAGAAGAAGTAGCAGTAGGAAAAGGAGTAGGAGTAGGAGTAGGAGTAGGAGGAGTAGGAGTAGGAGTAGGAGTAGTAGGTAGTAGAAGTAGCAGTAGTAGTAGGAGGAGGAGGCCACTGGTAATAAACCTATTTTTATATATATATATATATGATTATATCTGTATCTTTCAGTCAGCTTCACATCATCTCCAGGCCATGCAAGAAGCAGTAAGGTTGTCGTGACATGTGTCGGGGAAAAAAGCAGGGCACTTGGGATCAAGTCGCAAAGCAGGACAACCACTCAAGGGGCAGTGAGAGGGTGGGGCAGGCGAAATGACGTTCGTGTTCAGCCACTTCGCATGACATGTTTTGGTTTGGACTGCCTGGTAGTCTGACTCCGGACTAATGTCATGTCTGTCATATTAGGGGAAAAGACCCCTTGACACCGTGGCACGAACATGCACGAACCAAGAACTGGTCTCTGCAGAAAAGCAAGCACATCGCCGAGCAGTCCTCCTCGCTTTGGGACGCACTGACCCGGTGATTGAGGTGCTGTGGACCGTGTTGAGTGGTAAAACCAGGCCGTTTTCAATGCTGAACGTGCCGCTGCCACCACTGTGAAGCAGTTCACCAGAGCCATATCGACCGTCTCAAGCCAGGCGGAGAGTTCGGAGAATCGACCAAAGCAATGGGACCGGAATAGATGCCCCCCCAGAAAGCACCCCTGGCCCGATCGGCATCAGAATCATCAGTCCCATTGGTGTCTGGGAATGGATCATGCGTCATGGGTCAGAGCTCAGAGAGCTTCAGAGAGCAGAAGTCGGATGCACAGAGCGCACTTGGAGAGTCACTTGCAGGTGGCACCTCGAAAGCCAAATGTTCATGCACATGTTAACAGTATCGAATTCCGAATTGCGTTTTTGTCCACGGTGATTGATATGATTTGATGTGTTCTTTTTTTCTGAGCACTGTTTGGATGCCAGCGGTTCCGTGGGGGGAGAAACGAATCGACCGTTTGGGGAGTCAAAACCCGGAGGCACAACACCATGTAGCGAACGACCTCCCAGGTAGGTCAACCAAGGATGTTCAATGACGAGACAAAATGAGTCTTTGAAGTAAAAACCAGTGGCTACGCAAACATGCGTGCGAGTACCATGCCAGTACCGTGCATGTCATGTCATTTTCCTAGTAAATGGCATGGTCCGCTTGCCACGAAGACCAGAGCTTCCATGTTCGAAAGAAACTCTGACCGTTTTCTGACTTCGCAAGGTTCCCAGAGAAGGAGATAGACGTATGTGCGGTTCCTTTCCATGTTCTCAAGGACCACTGCTCACTGGTTCCTTGATGTTCCTTTCAGGGTTTCACGAGGCTTCTCTCCACGACCTAAGGAGTGAGGCGACGATCGTGGTGGACGTCCAGCTCTTGGAGCCTTTCAACCACCTCTGTCGAAGAAGACCCCTCCCTCCACTCAGAGTGTTTCAACCACCGGTGCGGTGCGAACCTCAGGTGTAAACCGCACCGTGCGATCGGCGAGGTTGATTTCCCCGCAAAGAGTCACGCGATTGGTCAGATTTCCAAGAGGGAATGTCTTCCTCCGCGATGTCACGTCTCGCCCTCTTCGGCTTTTAAGTGTTGCCAAGCCGCGAAGCCGCTACCTTCGTGCGGGAATGTTCGCGTGCAAATCTTCTCATAGCGGGGAGATATAGACGTATGATTCATGGTTAAGGTTGTTCATTAAACGAAAGGTGTGAGTCCCCTTGTGGCAGTGTCAATGTTGGGAGAAGGAAGAATAGAGAAAACGAGGAGAGACACATGAAATGGATGAGGAAAAGGAAGAGAGAGGGAGAGAGGGATCATGTTTTGAGGGAAACAAATTAAAACAAAAAAGTGGAAGAAACACATAGAAAAACCATAAGTAAGATCAAGTAATAAGTGTATAACTGTATAACAAAGAAAACGTGGAAAGCATTTAACACTGTAACGAACGGTTTGAAAAGGCAAAAGATGATCAAGCAAATCACAAACACAAAGGCAAAGAACAAGGAAACTCGACACAAAGAGATACCAATTTGGAAGCAAAGGGAGTCATGCGGAGTGTTGGGTGTCAGACTAAATTAAGACAGCTCTGGGCAGTCCTGGCTCCCGATCTCGCTCTCTTTCGTCGCTCTCTTTCGCGGCTCGTTTCGGTCACCGGTGCGTCCGCCGCAGCGCTCGCGACGGAAACGGCCTCAGCACTGGTCACCTTGGGGTCTGTGAGCACCGCCGTGACCTGTCCGTCACTGCCTGGCGCGTGTCGGTTCCGTCGCACGGGTGCCGGAACCGCGGACTTTCCGCTTTTCCCGGGCCAGGCAGGTGTGACTCCAGAAGGAAAGACACGAGCTGCCTGGGACTGACTTGTTTGATGCCGATCATATTGGGGTCAAGTCAATGGGGCGACATATATCCCAAACACTCCATGTATTGGCATATTTACCTACATTGACCCCAAGTCAACCACCCCAAGGTAGGTAAATATGCCATTAGTCGTGTCTGGGTATATACGGTGTATATATATATGCCGATGTCCCATGGTCTAGGGACGGAGGCCGAGGCCTGAGGCCCTTCATGCGATGAATCGGGAGGAGATGAGAACCGGTGGGATCCATAACCTCCGAAGGCAGCATGTCTTCCATCAAGAGCAGCAGGCTCTGCACTAGGGTTGGTAATCTGTTTAACACATGCACCAGGGCTGTATGGGATTCTGATGAAAGCTCGCAGTTTGAAGACACGCTTCTTAACCTTCCAATTGACAGCACATGATGAAGCGATCTTTCATGATCTTTCTGAACTAAAGGGACTTCCAGAACCACGTCCCAAAGCCCTCTGACGTTCAGGCAATCTGCGTCAAGTGCCTACTGAGTGTCTACTGCCTACTGCATACCTCACAAGCCGCAGGGTGGAATGTAGAACGTTCGGGGTGGGTGCAGGTCCAGTGCTGGCAGTCTCTAAGAGTTTCCAGTCAGTGCTGGGCAGTCTCCGGCTGGTCACCCAGGCACCCATGTCGCCTGGCTCGTAGAAACATTCTCCCAAGTCCTGGAGGTGGTGGACTTGGAGAGATCGTTTGTATGTTCCACTCTTCCCAGTACAACCAGAAGTAAACCAGTGGTACTGGACCTTCATGTCGGGGTGTCCTGTCTGGAGATCCCGGATGGTAGTGTAGGGGCTTCCATTGGTGACCCCTTTGACGGTGCTGGTAATATCTGGTTAGACTAGATCTGTCGAGCGTAAGGAAAATTGGGAGGGGCTGGGCGGCAGGGCTTGCTTTCTTTACTCAGAATTTCTAAACATATATGCGATCAATTCTGAGGCTTGGATAATGTGTTTGACAACACCTGCGGGGTAAGCGAAAAAGGGGACAAAGATAATGGAAGCAAGGAAACGGACAATCTTAGGAAGGCTGTGTTTATTGCTAAATGGATTGGTTTCATCATGAGGGATGTCTGCCTGATATGTGGGAGAGTTGCACATGAATTATCCTCGACCTTGGCACGGAATGGCTCCGAACGAGGTGGGACCCTTACCTTGACATTCGTTGGGTTTGTCGATTGTCGCTGCTCGAGCTGATCACGTTCCAATCATCTCCATCACCGAGCTGATCTCCAAACACCAACGCAAGCATATGGTTACGACATGTTACGACACTGAACGAACCCACAAGGCTCACGTACGGTGCAACAAAGACATGAACCCATGGGTCACCCATGCAAACTTTATAGCAAGAAAGAACACGCACCAAAACATTGACCAACACCACACAACCCCGAGACCAAACCCAACCAAATCTTTAGAAAAGAAGAACACCCACCCTGCAGTCACATGTCGGGGTGCCACCCATGGAGGTAGTCGGGGTGCCCCTGTCACATCCACTCACTTGGGGACTAAACACCACCCCGTCTTGTGACTCCTGGACTGCAAAAGATTGCAAAAGTACCCACCCTGCCTCCAGCTTCAAAAACACTTTCTGTCCACCCCCCCTGCACTGCGGTCCCACACATCCAGCTCGGTGGAGCTCCCTGCCACCCCAACCGGTGCCGTGCCTCACATCCAGTGGTGCCTATACCCCCCCACCGCCCCCGGCTTCGTCCTCGGGGAGCAAGTTGCTGGGGGTACCACTGAAGCCCAAACGATAGCCAAAGAGCAACGAGCTGCCCAATTCATGTCCACCTCGCTTCCCAGTCGGTTCACGGCGGAAGTCACGTCGAAGAGCGTGACGAAAGCGAAGCCAGGACTGGGACGGATGGAATCTTTTGGGGAGTTCCCAGTGGAAGGACTTTGTGAAAAAGAGAACAATTCAAGAAACAACAGTTGTCACACATTCAAGCAAGCAAGTTTAAAAAGGGAAAACCAACAGATGTTCTTTGAGTCATTCAAACACATAGCCCGTTTGGCACGTCGACCGCGTCAAGTCGACAGATCCGCAGACCATTGTCCCACGGCACGACGTGGACGCCATCTCGGTTGGTCAGACCACAGACCAGACGAATGGGACTGGAAGAGTTAGCTACCCCCATGGGACTGCCATAGGACTGCCGCCCCATTGACCCCCCCCAGTCAACCACCCCTGGCCTGATCGGCATATATATATGGCATACATGGAGTGTCTGGGTACCTTGGGATACATTGGGGGGCGGGAAAGAGTATACTCTTCCAGTCCGGATGGTCGCAGACCAACGTCAGGTGTGCATTCCTTGGCCAAGGCCAGGACAGCTGACCCAACTGGAGACCGAAGAGACGGGTTCGCCAGAGCCAAGCGGAACCAGCGAGAGACCCGAGACCCGACGGAAGCGACCTGCTCGGGGGTCACGTGGCAAACACAGGCGACCAAAAGCCACCACTGAGCGAACACGTGTTCAAGTCAAAAACAAAAACAAAAGCAGTCAGTATGCTTTCCAATACCGTCGTTCTCCGAGCGCTGAATGGGCCGGTCGGAACGAGAAAAACGATGCTGGTGGGACCAGCTGCATGTGTGAAGGGGTGGCATGGATGGAAAGTAAGGAGGGTTTTGCTGATGACACCAGCTCCAGGACAGGAACTGAACCAATCTCCAACGACCTGACAGCTGCCTAGCAAGTCCGGACGGGCTCAGAGCGGTGCGCACGTTGACCCCGGTGGATTTGAAGTCTGAACCCTAAGGGTACAGGACCATCCGATTCGGATGTCCTGCCAGACCCCCCGGCAACGACCATTCTCTGGTTTCGTACGTTATACTCACCTCCCTTCGACCATCCGAAGTACGGAGGTACCTGGACCCTATGGGGAAGGAAAGCATTCGGCGCTGGAGGGATCGGTCCCATGAATTTTGGATTCTGGTTGACGGACCCGGTCGACGAAGGGGCGTGTGGGGGTGTGAAGCGTCTGGGAGGCACGCTACGAGTATAGTGGCCTTCACCCTAGTAGCGATGGCCTCCAACCGAATAGCTTCTTGCTCCTAGTAGTAAGGCCAGGAGCCCCTAGTAGCGATGCCTGGAGCCCCTAATAGCTTCTTGCTACTACATCGTTCGGAGATCTAGAGAAGGGTCAGGAAATTCAACCCCTTCCACGAGAACCGGCCATCGACGCCCCTGAGCTTTTTGCTGGCAGAAATCTTGAGGGGATGAAAGTTCATCGTGACCTCAGATTTCGGCATGGCGTTGGCGATCGTTCTCATCGTATGTCTGGATTCTCTATGATTCTCCTGGAGAATCCTGACGTCAAAGTGTTTGTCCGTATAGCTTTTGGTTGTTTCCAACATCCATGCATGACCTGAAGTTTCAGACCATGTCCTCCGCACTTGTCTAGACATCATGAGACTAGACATAGGCAAATGTGAAATGGGAGTTCTTCCCCCCAGCGAGAATTCATGCAGTCTTCGGCATAGAAAACACCAGCGGTTTCAAGACACTTATGGAAGGAGGCCCGGCCCTGCAGTGGAAAGGAGAAGGACCCAGGGCAGAGACATCTCGCTGGTAGGTTGGAGGCCATTGCTAGTAACAAGAAGCTACTAGTATCAAGGACGCCATGTTCGGTGCACCATCGCTAGTAGGTTGGAGGCCATCCCAACTTCCCAACCTCGCTCGAGGGAACGGTATGTCCAGTGGATGGGAGCTGCACGCAGGATGGGACCAGCCAAAAACGCGGCACACCCTGCCAACTGTCTACCTTTTGCTGTGCTTCCCTGTGCAGTTCACAAACGACGTTGTTGGCCTTTAACATTACATGAGCTGTTGGCGCTTTACATGGTTTGCATAGAAAGAGCACATCATGTGGCCAGGCTGCTTGGCATGCAAGGATAAACTAATCCTGAATATGTCAAGAGCTAGGACTGTTTGTTTCTTGGCTTTCAGAGTCAAGCATAACATTCACTGCACCCAGGGTGCGGATGCTCTGCAAATAACAGAATTCCTGAAGCACCTCAGGAAAGGCCTTGTTGGACTCTTTCTGGGTGAGCATCTTCACCCTCTCCATTCTCGTTCAACAAGGCTTTTCCAGACACTCCCAAACACTTGTCTCTGAATGCTTCCCACGCACCGTTTTCCTCCTTCAAAACGAAGCGATCGCTTCTGGCCCCGGGTCTTGTTCACGAACAATCATGAGATTTACCAGCTGGAGATCAAACACCAGCTTCGGAAAAACCAGCACTCAGGACTCGGGAGTCTCCCAGCACTTGTGCAACAAGATCAGCACTTAAGTATGCAACGACTCATCCACAAGTTGGCTAGGGTTTGACCAAGAAAAGAAAGGCTTAAAGAACACAATCCCTATGGATCCACATACCCTCCGAGAAGGAGATTGGAGACACTTTTATGTAGGCTTGAGGGTCCGTCCAAGTACTGTACCTTCAGATAACGTATGTGTATCCGTAGGCAATATCCAGTCACTGTCACGGGCCATCTATGGTCATCTACTGCTGGGGAACCGAACCTGCGCGGTCATGTTGAAACTGCATGAAAGCTCGATATAGCTGTGGCTTGCATTCAAAACAAACCCAGCTTCCCATGTGTCATGGGATTGGGATCAAGAATCACATCAACCGGCTCCGAGCCTTCATCGTCCCATGTCAGAACCGTAAGGAAATAGAAACATGGAAAATTTAAATAAGACCCGCAAATTATGCCTTCTCAAATGATTTCTGACAAGAAATCTTTATTGAAAGCTTCCTCCTAGAGTTCACCCATTCTTGAGCCCACCATAGCCCTCAAAGGATGGTGGCAGCTTGCAAAAACTGATCCACAATGCCAGCTGATCAGCGACAAGCAAAACGATTCTTCGCCACCATAGCCCTCAAAAAGGTGAGCAATTGAGGAGGGTCAGCTGTTTCACTACAGCTGAACACTCGTTGCATGTTCCGCTGGAAAGTTAAAAAGGTAGAGCAAGAACGTCCTCGTGTATTCGACTTCCTCGATGATTTTGTTCTGAACTCCACTGAAAAAAAAAATGTTTGCTTGCAAAAGACACACATGAAGCACATTTACAGAAAGTCGCTTTCGCTTTCGCGCCACTTTCGGCTACTGTGTACGTCTTCTTCGTCAGATTCATGCAGCATCGCGAGGGTGCCGCGCCGTTGTGTCCAGCCCTCCGGTGCTGAAAACTTCATTTTGAAAGCTGCTCCTCCCGAAGCTTTTGGTAGTATTATGTCGGGCACGCCAGCCATAGATACAAGGAGCCAAAATAGTTTTATAAAGCAAAAACAAAGCAAAAACAAAGCAAAAGGCAAAGCAAACAAAAAAGCAAAAAAATGTAGCTGTGCGTATTTGTCGCTTTTTTTCACTTTTTTTTCGCTTTATTTTCGCATTTTTTTCGCTTTATGTTCGCTTTCTTTTTCGCTTTTTTTTCGCTTTTTTTCGCTTTTTTCCTAGGAGGGTACAGCAAAAGCATATTTGTCGCTTTTTTTCACTTTTTTTTCGCTTTATTTTCGCTTTTTTTTCGCTTTATTTTCGCTTTTTTTTCGCTTTTTTTTCGCTTTTTGTTTTGCTTTGTTTTTGCTTTTTGCTTTGTTTTTGCTTTGTTTTTGCATTTTCATTTGCTTTTATTTTGCTTTTTTTTCACTTTTTTTTCACAAAAAAAATTATTTGATGGTTGGCCATGTATGGCTGCCATCGCCCAACATAATGGTAGTAGCTGCCGAAGCGTGCTTCCCATTCGTCGGCATCGTACGTCAGGACCTGGACCCGTGCGAGACCTCCGACGGACGACGACCTTTCGACCGCCAGTCTTTCGGCGGTCGCCGGGCGGGATCGTTTCAGGGATCCGAAAAAGGGGGGAAGGATCACATACCAAGAGAGGTTGAGTGACCCTATAGACTATCCCAGCTCGGTACCCCAGTAGGGTCCTATAAGGTCTTTCAACCTCTGTTGGTATATACAAAAAGAATGGTCTGACTAGGGGCCTGAGTTCGGGAACTTCCTTTACTCCAGCCGGTCAATAGAATAGTCGAACTGGACTTCATATATATATATATAAAACTACACCCTAAGGGTCCAGGACCATCCGATTCGGATGTCCTTTGACCCCCCGTTCGACCATTCTCTGGAAGTACGTACTCACCTCCAAGACCATCCTCAGGAGGTACCTGGACCCTATGGGACACTTACTCCCTTGGGCTCCTCAATGTGACTGGACATGAGTGGACCTGGCACGCAGCCACCCCCAGTCCCACTTTCGAAACGAAAGCACGACTGGAGCCCTAGGGTTTGAAGAAAAATAGGACTATATATAAAGTCTCTGTGGTCCCCTGCTCTGAAACAGACCATTATACAGGTTGCTTTGTCGCCGGGTCTTCCTTCTTCTTCTCAAATGTAGGGGCTTCTCGAATGGCTTTCTCTGCTTCTTCGACCGCGTTTTCGGTTCAGCAGGAACTCAGTGCACCAGAACCAACCAGAACTGCTTCGCTTCGAAACACTTCGCTTCCGAGATGGCCAACAAATCCTGACACCTTTCGCCTGTTCTTGCCTGTTCCTGCCCATGGAGACTTTCTGTCTTCATAGTCTTGGCTAGAACAACAACTGCCCGACAACTCCCCACCACTACTGCTCTGCTTGCTCTGGTCAAGGTCCTAAGTGGTTTCAACACAAATTGATGTTACTATATATGGATCCTATGGCAGTGGCTTGGAAGTGTCGCGCTCCAGCTCATCCCACGTGAATCCCAAGGCACTCGAGAGGGAAATCCTTTCAACTTGGAGCACGCAAAGCTTCCGATGCAAGGGATTGCGCCTTGGAGCACTCGGCGTTCATGGCAACTCCTGCTCTTTTTCATAAATGTCATTCTGAGTCTTTTGTTGGCAAAACTATGCAAAGTTCAGCCGAAGGAGCAGTCAGCAATCTTGTCGACATCAAATGGCTCAATTTGAGCCACTGCATCGAAAAGAGGGGATGCTTCCCCAGCTCTTGGAGTAACTGAAGGCTTCTGAACGCTCGCAGCACAACCCATGACTCGCAACACGTTCGGATAATGAATTCGGAGCCACAAATGGCTACAAACAGAACTCTCAATTGTGGCGAAGGGTGCGCTACAAGAACACCCTCGTTGCAGGTTGTGTCTCAACTCACATCCCAAAGATGTGGGATACCGCTAATACCACCCACCCACCCGCCCAGCCAGCCATCCTGAACCAACCACTTGGGATCTGGATCCCATGTCAGGGCTAGATCTTCCCAGGTGACTCAGATCTGCCCTTCTGAGGTCGTTAGAGCCTTAAGATAGACTACCTCGACCATCCTTAATTAAAGGGTATCCTGGCTGGACTACCCTACACTGCTTTGGGATCTCCAGCCAGAACACACACTCGATGGTCCTGGTATATGATAGACATGAAATTATATATTTGTATACTGGGTCTCCTATTACCTGTAACAGTGGATTTTTCCGCTTTCAGCCTTATCAGGATACGTTTTGTATCCACAGACGACTAGTCAGCCAGGGCGTTTCGTTCAGGCCTAATGGGAGCGAATTGGCACGAAGGAGTCTCGAATGTCTGTGCAGTTCGAAAGACATGTTGAGCACCTCGATGGGTGATTGATTGTTTAGAGGAAAGAGCACCTCTGGATTCGAAAGAGCACCTCTGGATTAGGAGGCCTTGTTTGCTTCAAATACTTATCAATCTCAAGGTGAGTGACCATGCACCAGTTGTGGGATTCCATGTGCAGGATACCAGCCTCGTATCCCCAGCCAACCCAGAGTGTCTGATCGTTTGACTCTCACTTGTTGTCCAGCAAAAGGAAAATCCCTTGTGCTATAAGCCAAGTCAAACATATAATTGAAACTTTTGGTTTGCGCTCCAAGTGGAGTTTTTGCCAACAAATCAGCATGAACGGATCGGTCTGCCAGCTCAACACATGCAATGTTATGTCCAGGACGTAACTTGCCTGGTGTGATATTGATTGGAGCTTGACTGGAGGTCGTCAGCATGAAATAAAAGTACCATCCAATGAATGTTGTCTGGCCCAAACAATGGCAATTGGTTGGGCACCAATGTGCAATTGTGTTGCCCGTTCAAAAATTCTGTAACAGAAAATGGGGTGGCAAGGGCACCTAAGACAGATTTGGAGGTCGCCAACAGCTGCCGGGGCAGCCACATGGACAAAAGCAGGTTGCTTGTTTGGGCTTCACACACAATAGCTTCGGATCCAAACGTCTTCGTTTCTCAATAAACGCTTTGTCAACTTCGCGGTGCTCCAGAATGAAATCACCAACGAACTACCTGCAACAGTGGATGATGATGGTTAGTAAAGGCCTTGTTCAAGAATGATGATTTGGTTGCATACTGACTGTTACAGGTAAGAACTTACAGACCCAATATGTACTTATGATTCTGTGACATACTGCCCCGGTCGTGTCCATTCTGAACCCTGACCTCAAGGAGACCAAGGGTTTTCTCCTCAAGTCTGTTCGCTCCAATCCACATGCAGTCAGCATTTGTGGTGTGCGACCGTTGCATCGTCAAATTCGTGAGTCCCCATAGTCCCCTGTCCTCTTCCAATGTTAAAGGGGATTTAAAGGGTATCCTTTTTGTGTGTCTCCTATCGTTTGCCAGGGTTTGGAGCCTGCCAGCAAATATGAATGCAACACTCTTATTGTAATCATCGCACAGTCACACATATGTGTCAAAAAAAAACAAAGGAATCTATTTCCTTTCTTTCTAGTACTTGTTCTTGTGTTGTTTTGTGTGTCTGTGCACTTGTTTTTGGAGCATACCAAGATCAACTCCGATCCCACTAGCTAAGGCAGCCAAGACAGCCCCGAATCGTTTCACACTATGTCAGACGGACGACAAGCACAAGGCCAGCTGAAATCGATGGTCGCCGCAAGGAAACAGCCTCACCCCTGAAGCAAAGGAGCTGGGAACACGTGCTGCCGAAGCCAAAAATGTGCCACTTCGCTGGTGTTCTGGATCTGGCGATAGAGTCGTGCCATCTGCTTCCTCACATCGCCGGTCGGTCGGTGCGCGGTCGTCCGGTGGTCTCGGTCCGGTGGTCTCGACCTACCGTGGAGGTGCGATGTGACGCACCGGTGCGGTGGGAGACGGTCGGAGTCGTCTTGTCAAACAGAGACGAACGTCATGGCCAAAGACTTCTTAAGTCTTCCAAAGGTCTATACTACTGTCTAATGACTTAGGCCAACGTGATGCAAGTGACATTCCAAGTTACTAGTCAGTAGTATAAGTGGTCCTGAGTTTTGATTGGAAGATATGAGATGTTGGAAGACTCCCCCCTGCCCCACACAGACGTCTATGTCAGGCCCCTGCTGTGGTTTCTTTTTGGAGATTTGCCCATCACAAACTTCAAAAAGTCCTCCTGATTTATGCTCCTCACTGGTCCTCCTGTTTCTACGTCAAGCTGTGTACGCAGCACCTGTATGTCGTAGGCCTTGTCCCATGTACAGTTTCTCCCCTTCAGAATGGATGTCTGACTCCCTCAATGTCCCTTGACCATAAAGGTTATAAATTACATAATAACCAACACTGTCCACCTGTTCTTGTTTCATGGGTAAACCAATCTCCACGAAAAACACCGGTATAGTTATTCCACTGTTCCTGGGTATGATTCGAAGCTGTCCCCACCCATCATTTTTGTTGCCCCTGGGAGAACTCGACTCTTGCTTCGCTCCATCTCGCCAAAGGCACGGATCCGTTGGCTGAAAGAGAGACAGCGGCAAGATGTTCCTAGAACAGCTGCAGAACAGCGCAGAACAATCGCGGGGTTTGGGCGAGGATTCGCGGGGTTTGGGCGAGGATCCTGTGACCGAAGTATTCGAAATGAAGCAAAGGCACCCAGGGATGCCAAACGAGTCAGTGGTGGACCCAACTTGCTGTTCCGAGCGGAAAACATCTCCATTTGAGGCAAACAAAAGCTTAGTTCCAAAGATTGAACCCTAGGCCCTAGGCTAGGATTTAAACCACCCATTGATTTGATACTTTGGGACTCCCCCATGGACTTGGATCACCAGGGTTGATTCCTGGCTCCATGGGGCTCCATCAGTGTAGGTCGCCGTAGGTCGCCGCTTTCAGAAGGGCCGTCTGAAGCTGTTTTGCATGTAATACATACCCTTGCAGTCAACAGAACAGACAAGCAACGTGCCGATCCTCTCCGAAAGGAAGTTTCCCCAAACGAGTTCCTGGCATTCGGCCCTAGCAAAACATGGTGTCCGACCCCTAATCTTGACTAGGACCCGACGTCTGGGTCATACCCTAGAAAGTGGGGGGCCTGACCCCAGAAAACAGATAAATGATGGATTTTGATGGTCTTTGGTATGTCTTTGTCCCCATTTTCTGGATACGAACTGAAACTCCAGGTACTGAGACCTTGAGCGATTGGACCACCGACATCAAGACCGGGGAGTCTTGCTTTGTCGTGTTCCATGGATGCAAGACATCAAGACCATTGGTCGTGACCAGTGGAGACCAGTGGAGTGGAGACCACTCGAGGGCTCAAACAGGGTCGGGGACCCCAAACTCCCTCAGTATTTAAGCTAAAAATGACAACAACATAAGATCTGCGCCTAGGGCCCGAGGTTTTGGTTTTGAGATACTGAGCCACATCCATCGACCTGAGCTGCGTCCTTGAGAGCTCTTCATCCAACCTTCTCATCTTGTATCCTCGGCACTGCGATGCAAACTGTCCGGCTCTGCCCCCTGGGGCCGCAACCCGTCGTGGTGTCGGGGATGACAGGGGAATTGGGAGGACTTTCATGGGTCTTTCCAGCACCAAAAGACTTGTGAGGACAAAGCACCACAACTCCTTAATGCTCCTGGCGCGCCATGACCTCCTCAGAAGGTCTGACCAGACCTTCTATCACCCCGAAATCCACGAGAACGGCAGGGTCGAAGCGACACGTTGGTTTGGTCCAAGAGCTATCAGGTTTCAAATGGTTCAAGTTAACCTTTGGGATGGAAGTACGTCCAATAATCCCTTAAAAACGAAGGACGAGCTCTTCACCGTCTGAGCAGCCTTCTGTTGAAACACATGGGATGCTTCACCTCCAGCAGCCCCCCCTACGCTCGTCCGTCAGATGATTTCTGAGGGCCGAAAAGACCCTAGGGCTCCAACCACCTCCTGAGAAGGTGGTTGGGGTGGGTTTGGGGGGTCTAACCACCTTCTGAGGATATGGTTGAGCCCTAGGGAGAACTCAAATCTGGTACCCCAATCTCCGACCCTCCATGCGAGAATGGCAGGAATTCGTCGATCGCATCGCCATACACCACCTCCACATCCACGAAAATGCTAGCTCAGCGTCTGGGGCTGCTGGGTTCCTCCTGGCCCAGTGAAACCGCCAGGAAGGAACTCAAAGGAAGAAAAGGTCCGGGCTACTTCCACACACACTTGCTGAACTATTGCGACAATCCTTCGTTTGTTATGAGTTATGATTGTGTTCCAGTATATATAATTACACAAAGCTGTGAGATAGACTATGCGACCTGGAAGCCTGCGCATGCTATGGCATGCTGCTGCTTTTGGGACGATTGGGGCTCAAGAGATCTCACGAGCATCAACAAAAAGGGCGGATATAGACAAATAGATATAGCCCTAAGAATCATTCGACCCTCCTATGGAGGGTTTGGTTTGGACCCTCAAAACCTTCACCTTTGAGGGTTCTTGATTCTTATGGAGACAAATAGACAGAGAGAGAGAGGGAGAAGAAAAAAAGAAGAGGAGTCCACGAGTCCAAAACCCCTCAAGATATGGACATGGTCATTCTTCCACCCCGGTGATCCTGGCACGCCGTAGATGTTTCTTCCCTGTGTTCTCTCTCCCTCGCAGAAGGTGTTTCGCGGTCACGCATCCGGCCTGCCGTACCCATGATTCAAAGAGCACATGCGCAGGCCGCGTATCGCGCGGCCCCAGTTGCCGGGCACCATCCTGCAAAACGGTCAGCACGGTCGACCGCGGTCAACCGCGGTCTTCCGTCGGTCGTCTTCCGGTCGTCTGATTCGTCGCCTCCGTGCGCCCAAGGACGAACACCATGGACCACATGTCACATGTCGTCTTGGTGATCAAGAACCAACACCCCAAGCCTAAAGGATTCTGAAGGGCTCCTTAGGTCCTTAGGTGATTGGTTGACTTGGAAGTTACACATCTGAACTTCCTAGAGAGGGGTCAGCAGCCCCATATTTCGCCTATCCCATCTGTACCAGAAACTGGGTCCCGCCTCCTTTCAACCTCTCCAACTCGCACGAGAAGAACGGCCAAGATCTCCATCTGCACAACATCAACATCTCCATCCCCAGATCCCAAATACATATCCCGAGATCCCGGAGACGTCGCTCGGCCTGCTTCAGCTGTGCCACGATGCTTCGCACGTCGCTCGGCCGTAGGCCCTGCCGACGCAGGCGAAGGGTGGTGAGTTCCGAACAACGAACACAGAACGGACTCATTCCGGAGGCAACTCTTCCGCTTTCAAAAGCGCCGGCCTTACAACTAATTTATTCCAGCACCCTCCAACAGGTCACCAATTGAAACCTGTTAGGGCCAAACAACCCTCCATTTCGGAGACCTGTTGCAGGGTGCTGATAGGCTTAACTTGTAAGGTCTACCTCCATCCTCCTCCCAAGCATCTCCAGTAAAATCGCGCGCCGCGGGGCAGGGGCCCCAAGAGTCGCTTGCCTCAAAGCGATAGGCCAGGATGGTGAGACCAATGGCCACGTCGGGATGCGCGAACTCACTACTACGGGACGGCACATCCTGGAGAGCGGAGGGAATGAGTGGTGAGAGAGAGGCTCCAAATGGCTCCCAAACAGGGTGGGCAGGATGAGATAGGATGAGTTTACACTGGGATGGGATTTCTTGGAATGGATCTAGGGGAGGGGCTGATTGGTGGAAGGAGTGAACTGGAGAAGATGAGATGACCGGTGAGTCGGCGAGAGAGGATGTGTTCATTGTTCATTCAACTGCCCTCAGGTTGCCAACAAACATACTGTATACACATCCTCGGGGGCTCCAACCATATCCTCAGAAGGTGGTTAGACCCCCCAAACCCACCCCAACCACCTTCTCAGGAGGTGGTTGGAGCCCTAGGGATCTACACATGCACAAACATGTTCTATGGTTAATCCTTTGCACGAGCTTGGCCAGCTTGGAGAGGAGACATCCCTTCCTGTCAGTCAGGCTCCGACGACCGGCCGAGCGCGGCTGTCCTTGCCCACGAAGGGCACAGCCATGACCAAGCGTGAGAAGGGAGTCTTCTCATCAGCGGCCTGTGGAAACAAGCAGGTTCCATCTGCCCTTCCCTGAACAGCACATGCCTTTCTAAATTACTGCAAAATTCTGGTATCTCGTTGAGCGGACATCCGAAGCTAGCTGGATACCTGTGTACCAAAGGAAGAGACCCATGCAGAAAGGGTCTTGCACGAGAACTTGTCCATCATACACTTCTTCAAGAAACGTAGAAGTAGAGGGCCTGATCCAGAATGCTCTTCTATACAATCGGAGAACGAACCTACAGTGCCACAGTACCTTCCACTGAAACATGTCAAGCCAGCTCTAGCCATCCCTCCCCCAGAAAGTGAGGCTCCATCCCCTGGCTTGGGGTGAATCTCTTCAAATGAATTTCCAGGATCTGACAGCAGAAAGCAATTCTGTCGGCTTGTCAGCTTCTGACCTTCTTGGGGAGTCCCGAAGATTCCCTAGTGGTAACCTTTTCCCGGCATAAGTCACCTCAACCACGAACCATGGGATCAAGTTGGGTCACAAACTGAAGGACCAGGTGCCTTTCTTCAAATCATCTCCATGCAAACAGTTATAGAGTTGGATTGGATCAGATGTGGGATCAGCTCAAAACAGCGCCTCAAGCCAACCCCCGCAAAACATGTGGAATTACAGGGACCTCTGCCGCAGAAACCGACGACCACATCCGATGACCCCAGTCCACCGCCTTTGGGGGGCCATTGAAAGCCCACCAAGACTTGCCCCAAAGACTCAGCTTCAAAACAACGGCAAGAAACGAAACGAAACATATCTATAAGAGGGTCCACTGTGAAATAAACAAGCAAGTTCTTCAAGGAGCCAGGATTGTAGGCTTCACCAAGCACAATAATGTGAAGTTTGCCTGAACCTTTGGATCTGCCAAGTTGTGAATGGACCAAGCCTCTGGTCTTTACCCGACCGATTTCTTTGGCCCATCCAACATCCCCGCCTCCAGCTGCTTCTTGCTCAGTAGCCCATAGGAGACTCGATCGATCTTCGCCAGCACATGTGGCAGGATAGCGCCAATCCAGGTGCTCGCTAGGTTGAACCTCAACTCGCCATCCTTCCACGCTCCCCATCCCCGTGATGCAACAGGTCGTCATGCGACCCCAAACGAATCAGATGCAACAGCCTTCGGGCGACACACGAGAATCGAACCTCCGGACAGGTCTGCCAAAAAGAATGCCCCCGCCAATGGTTGCCAAATATTGCGACTCAATATGTTCCAAACTTAAACCCAGTAGCTTTTTGCAGTTTTTTATCTCCTCCACATTCACGTGGATGTCATTTTCATGGATGGCCTTCGCCTTTGCAAACTGGGAAGATGGTCTTGGCAGTTGAAGGAACATCTCTGGTACCCCAGCCGGTTCTTTTCTCTTTCCATCTGAGGCACACCCGGAGTCGAAGACCCGCTGGGAACGCGGGAAACGCGCGCGGAACGTCTCCGCGTCTCTCTCGGTTCCGCGCAGTTTCAAGGAGAAAGGCGTGAGCCCAGACTCCAAGACCTCCAGAGAAGAACTTCGGGCAAGAAAGGTGTATCTTTAGAACGCTACTAGGGGCTCCTGGCATCGCTATTAGTAACCATGTTCGCTACTAGGGGCTCCTGGCCGTGTGTTTCCGGGGAGTTGTGGGGTCCAAGAAAGGCCAATGGGGTTGTGTCCATCTTTCCATTGGGACCAGGTGACTGACCTGTCTTTGAGGCCAAGTTGATCACTTGGTCAACGACAACGTCCACCCTTTGTTCAGGTGGTTCATGGAAAAGTGGGTTATAGTATTAATATATAATGCATCCCTTAAGGGGGTTCTATTGATAGCCCCGAAAAGAGGTGATTCGGGGGAAAACATGAAAGCCACCCCGACAGTGGGTCCTGGATCATGCATTCATGCTTTTGGTTAATAGGTCAATAGATTTCATCCGGTCCAGGTCGCTTGATCTGAAAGTTCCATCACTCTTGCGCTCGGAGTCGATTCGGCGCCCTCTCCACGGGCCCGGTCGGCCATGGCGCCATGTCGAGTCCCACAAGAACTGGCGGAATGACTACATTCTTAATACCAGGACCTTCTCCGCCGTGGGGTGCCCTGTCTGAAAGCCTATATAGGTCGTGTGGGGTAGTCCAGCCAGGACACCCCGACAAGGTCCAGGGTCCAGGTAGACCTGGCGTTGGTCTTATAGGCGGAAAACTCACCCTACAATGCACACCCACGGTCCGCAGTGTGCTCGTCCTGGAATTCACCATGGTCTACCTGTCTCGTCCTGTCTCATCCGTCCAACTCGCCGGGCTGAGGCCAGGGGTTGGAAAGGTTGCCAGGGTTGGGTGCGTCTCAGGTGACGCACCATGAATCGCCGGGTCCTTTCCAGTCTTACTGGTTGCCCTGCATGGTTTTCCTCCGGTGTTCCAATCACAAGCTGCACAAGTCTGGATACTAGTCTGGATGTATCCCTCCGAAACACTTGTGATGCAAAGGATCTCAATTGCCCAAATTTCAACAACCCATGTGTTTCTGGTTGGGACTGGCTTTCCGAGCTGAGCTAAGGCGCTAAGGATTTCACACTCAGACTCAACCAGCTCAACCAGTCTTCAAATGGTCGAACAGAAGGCGACTGGCCCCTGCCTGCTTATAGTGGAAGGGTTGGTCTGCAACCAAGGCTTCCAGCAAGACCTTCAACCGGGCGGTGGCCTCTGAATCAAACCCTGGATGAACGGTCCACCTTCGCAGCCACTCCATTCCCCTCCATGTGGCACATGTCATGCACCTGGAGAACCGAGGAGAATCGGGTCGCATCCAAGGTCTTGGATCTGAACTGGAAGGATCCCCACCGCCCCCGTGAGCCAATGCTTCAGAAAACCCCAGTGATCGACAGAAACGGCCAGGTCGACCTGGTCTCCGTCCGGGATAAGGTTTACATTTACATCCATGTGCTTTGTTTCATGTCGAAATTGGAGTGTTCCAAACCGAAACCCGCGCGGAAAAAGACCAAATCAAGTTTAAAAAGATCTGACATCCTCACTCCACGGATGTCTACAAATTTGCCACCCATAGCCGAAACATACCATCACCACACCTAGAACAAAAACTATATTAACCCACACCAAAACCAGAAAAAAAAACAGCACCACCTAAAGGGTGGTTTACAAACACCCCTGACCTGTGAGCCTGTGACTATGTATTCTTCCTCCAAGAACCACCCGAAATCCGTGGTGAGTGGTGATTGTTTCTTTCCCACACCAGGCCCCTTTTCGGCCCTTCGTGTCCCGTCTCCAAAAGCTGCGCCAGGAAGAAACACGCCTCAGGCCTTGCCTCAACACACACCAACACATGCCCACCACCATTGAGGATCACGCCTCCTTTAGCTTGGATGTGCTTCAGGAAGCGGGAAAAAGCACATCCCAGGTTAGTGGATTTACTCACACGGAGCAAGGACAAAACAAAAACCTGAAGCAAAACCAGATTCGCCACACCTCACCCTCACCCCTCCCGGTTTGAGAACTTCTTGCGACCGGTGTGAGCCGATTCGGCCGAAAGAAAGAGCAAGCTGCTGTGAGGGTCCAAACTCTCACAGAGGCTAGGTGGGGGGTCCTGAGTCTTGAGTCTTTCAGTGGACATGAAGCATATGGGGCATTTGGTTTGGCGAAAATGGGGCATCTCAGAAACACATCAACTGTTCCGACCACCCTCCTACAGCGATAGAGCCTTGTTGGGCGCCCATGAATTCTCGGAAGTCTTGACTGCTTCACTTCCGCTGGACACGGCGGAGCGGAAGTGGATGGCACCACCTGTTTGGTCTTCGGAACATGGGAATCCTTTTTGGGGCCATGCCATCCACGTTGGCCCATGATCCCTAGGGCTCCTGGCCCACCTCCTGAGAAGGTGGTTGGGGTGGGTGGGTTTGGGGGGTCTAACCACCGAACCTGAGGAGATGGGACAGGAGCCCTCGGGGATTCATATTTCAAGGAGTGTACAGTAATTGAACAGTTTGCTTGCGGCACTTCCCCAGATAAGTTTTGTCCGTCAATATCTTGAGTCTTCAGTTCGTATGCTAGAAAATTCAACTTGTACGTAAAAGTTGGGAAAACAAAAGAAAAAACTACAACTGTTCTGTACCCTGTACCGGGTACCCCAAGACTAAGACTCCAAATGACTCCAGGTTCTACTCTTTTCAGTCAAGCTGATCTCATGCGATCCAATTTCTTTGTTCTCCCACCCTGGCTGATCTTCCATATTCAACCGTTTCGCCAGGGACATCCAGGATGACCGAATTCTTTCCTTCAGGACCAGCCGACCCGCCACTGGCAGCCCAGAAGAAGCTCCTCACTTGGAAGAGGATACCATTTGTGTGACCAATTGGTGATTCTAATTTGTTATTACTAGTAAGGCACTTGTTCCTTATAGTTTCTTGTTACTACTATCTCAACATGCAAATCAACCAACTGCGGTCTCGCCCTTTTTTGCAGATTCTTCCGCCCCCGACTCACCTCGTCAGAGAGGGAGCCTGGCTGACGATGATGCAAGAGATCATCAAAAGCGTTCAAACAAGCAACATGAACCACCTGAACCACTCGCAGAGTCCCCAGTCCCCAGTCCCCAGTCCCAGCACACCACCACACCCATTGCCCCAAGCAGAAGCCTCCGCCCCAAGCAGAAGCAGTTGATCATGTGCAACTAGAAGTGCCCCATTAATGAAAAATGGTTTTAGTTTTGGGAGTCGGGACCCCAACCAGGCCTTCTGTGGAACCGCAGATGCGAGCATCAGTGAACCGTGGAAAATGTTTCCTGAACCATGAAAGCCCTACATTACATAGAAGGCGTGTTCTTGGATTACATAGCCATTTTGTTACCTGGAGTCTCAAAAAAGATCAGAAAATTAGGCACAAGTACCTGTTTTGATAGAGTCATGTCCCATGTTCTAAGGGACTTTGGAGACATCGATCAGATCCTGGCACGGCTCTGAGGATTGTTCACCGGGCAGGACCGATTTGGAGCCGGTTGGTGGATGAATTCGCTGTCTCCGGTTCGCAGCTGGGAACATGGGGTATACTCAGGACCTGGTTATTTACGTATATATATTATACAGGGACCTGTTCTTTTAGAGGGTGGTTCCGTTCTCCAGGGTACAACACTTCGGGCCCGGGTGAGCCAGGGCGAAGACTCCCTCGGTTTGGTCTCATCCCTTTACCTATACTACCCTCGCACTCCGTGCGTCCGCGAGGCACGGCCGGAGTGTGTGACTGGACCGCAGGTGTTGCGTCTCCAAGAACCACAGGATCTTCCAACTCTGCAACACTCCTGGTTTTGGGGCTGATTCTATGGATGTAAAGCCAAACATGTGGCACATTTGGAAGATCCAGGTCATGCTGTTTCAGCGCTTCCAAGTGACGAACACAAGCCTCAATATGCCCCGTTGACCTGTTGGACCTCCAAATGCCCCGCTGGTGGGCGCGGAACCATGGTGGGCGGCAGTGGTATTGAAGGGGAAGGAAGGTGCCTCCGAAATGCAGCCAAGGAAAGTGATTGGAGCGGCTCACCTCGGTCTAGAGCTCTTGGAGTCGAAGATCCCAACATAATCGAAATCTCCTGGACTCGATTCATGTCGATTTCACCATGTTTGACACAAGAACCTGGGCCCCCCCGTCACCCCCCAAGGCATATAATAGACACCCCAGTTTTTGCCCCCCAAACAAGAGATATCTTTTCAGGGTGTTGGTTTCATTGGGGTCTGGGATGACTGGCGGCATATTATGCCCTATGCCCCATGCTATACAAAGCATGGAGTGTCTGAGTGCTTTCGCCTCCAGTGAAGTTCTTCTTCAGCCACAGCAAGATCCAACGCCTTGGCTCACTTTCAAAGAGCAAAAACGCCGAGAAAAAAACTGAGAGGTGTGACTCAACAAAAACTTGAGGCCTTCTAAGAAGACGATTCTTTTTGGTAGACTCCAACACCTGAGGTACAACTAGTTTTGGCGCGGGGAAAGAGGACCAAACCACCCCGTGGCCACGACCGTTCTGCGGTGTTGCTCCATCTTTCTCCGCTGGGTATGCGCGAGGCAGCGCTGCCTGGAGGTGTGGCTCTGAATGGTCTTCTGCAGAAACTTGCGTGTAGCACATTCCCTTCTTCTCAGAGGCGGCCTTCCTCCTCAGAGAGTGGATGAATGTCGAATTGTCCATCATAGTTGGATCCGCACGCAACAGCTCTCCCATCACACCTGGCAGAATCACTGAATGACAACCTCCTGCAGAACACATTGTCACAAATGGGAGAACACCTCAGAACTTGCATGTTGGGCCAAATGCTGTTCGTTGGACTCTTTTGTTTACCAGAGTTCGCCCGAGATCCTTTCACTTGGCAGCCAGTCCTGCGGAACAGAGAGGAATCACCAAGGCACGTCCAACCCGCTCACCCAAAGTTCGAACACAAGTAAAGGACCCAAAGATGCACCAGATCTCTCCACCTTTTAAGGTGGTGTTGCTCCGGTTCAAATCGTGGGTTCGGGACATGGATGTTCATAGATTTTCGGATTTACCTTGCTTTGAAAATCTTTGAAGTACTCCCTGCGACACCAGTGAAACACGATCTGGTCTGGGAGCCATGATCACATCCAGACAAAGTGGGTTTCAGGATCCAAGTGGTGCAGGTGCAGAACAAAAAGGCAAACAAATTATAGACGTCTAGATGTTAAAAATATGTTTAAAACAACAAAAAACATGTCTCGCACGGCGTGGTCTCCGCCTCAGACCAAGCCAATCACCAGCTGCTCACTCCAAATCCTCACCTTTTTGGCCGCCTCCAGGGAGACACAAGGAAGCACGTGGAGAAGGTCTTTACTTTGTTGGGGGGATGAGAATGGATGAGACTGAGGTAGGTCTGTCTGTCTGTCTGTCACGAGGCTCCATATGCTGATTATGTGGATGCAAACTGGTCTTTTCCGGAAGCCAAGACCCAAAAGGCCTGTCTTTTCCGTCCAAAACCCCGTTCATCCCTGTTCATCCTGTGGATCCAAAGGTGTTCACTCTGTCAAAGGAGGGGGGAAAGCTCCCAGCAGTTTCCATGTCTGGTTTGGTTCGTCCCATTCCGCAAGCTGCTTCGGATCGCTGGAAGACACAACCGGCGTCTCTGGCCAGTGACAAGCCCAAACAAATAGACCGGTTGAAGAGTAGAACCAGACGTTCACCCGAAAACATGGAGGTCAATGGTGCCAACCTACGGTTACCAACCTCTTGTTTTCCCTAGGGCTCCAACCACCTCCTGAGAAGGTGGTTGGGGTGGGTTTGGGGGGTCTAACCACCTTCTGAGGATATGGTTGGAGCCCTAGGGTTTAAAGAAGAACCGGGTAGCAGCCCACGACGTCCCGTGACCGACGTCCGTGACGTCGGAGACGATGTGCGGCCGCGAGGGGCCACGTCGGAGCTCTTCGCTTCGGGACGTGGGGGCGTGGTGGGGGAGTCATACCTTCGTTGAGTCACGCCAGGAGTTTCGGGGTGGATCAAAAACATACAAATCATCACCTCCTGATAGGTGAGATACCTCCTGATAGGTGAGAGATGGGCTTCGTTTTCGGACTTGGAATCGGTATCGTGAGGAATGAGGGAGAACCAAGCCCACCAAGTTGAAGAGTTCCTCCGGAATAGGCCCCACTGGTACTTAAAATGATGTATCACTACCCGCACCCGACTCTACAGGTCTCCGACATGGAGGCTTTTGCTGACCTAAAAGTCGCAGGTGATGACTTGTTGGAAGGTCCTGGTATATCGTGCTCGTTCGGTTCGTACACCAAATCTTGGTCGAAAAATACCTCGCCCATGTCAAGTCCGCTTGGAGTCTGGACAGACTTACACTCATTGGTTACGTGGATGGCCCCGAGTTTGCAGTGGTGCCATCCATCCACTAACCCGCATGGGACCCATGACGTCAAACACTCCCATGATATGGAATTGATGCCCCCAAAAACCAAGACTCCTTCTTCAACCACCCCAACTGATTGGCCCCCATCGCTTCGTCGCATCGTCGTCACGGACGAGGCGTTGGGGGTGGCCTCGCTTCTGCAAGAGGAAGGCCGCCTCGCTCGAGCTCGGCGCCACGTCCAGAGGAGTTCGCCCGTATCGGTCCAGGCGATTCACCTGCGGTTCTCGTCGACTGGGACGGGACCGCGGGGCCATCGTCGAACGAAAGAGAGACATGCCCCGAGCCGGAAAGGACCTACTCGAGCCGAAAACAGTCGCCGAAAATGTCGAATTGGAACCTGGAAAAGGTGATTTGAAAATAGAAGATCACCTCCAGCAAAACCAGGCAGACCTTCCGGCGCATGGTCGTGAAGTCAGTCAAAAAAAAAGCAATTTTTTCCCATCGGGGGGGTTGAGACGTCCAGTCATCCGACTGGTCATGGTCCAACTCGCCTTTCTCATCCCAGATGCACCCAGTCATCTTGGAGAGTCGACTTTGGGATGTTTGGGGGGGGATGATGGGGGATGTCTCGCGCCATCGACTCGACTCAACTCACCGTGTTCGGTGGCCCATGTCTCCATCGAAATCCCCGAACCGCTGGCCGGATGTCTGCCTCTGCACGGTTCCGGAGGAGCTCCAGCAGAATGGGGCAATCTTGGCCTTGAAAAACGCCGGCCACGAACCCGACACCCCACCAGAATAAAGCTCATGTTGGTCATGCCCCAAATCCGCCAACATGCCAAGTTGGCACAAAGCCTCAGCCTCAAACTTCTATTGATGGTGATGGAACAAGGGCCTCAATGGGAAACTTCTACTGCCGGGAAACATCATCCAACAAGAAATGGATGGAATGTCTCCCCATCAGTCACTCGATATGTAAACGATCTCGATTGACTGTCCAGAAGCGGTTCGTCCGCGAGTGCGAGTACCATGTTGGAGCCCTCTTCTCGTCGGGTGGTCCTGGTTTCCTCAACTAAGCCCGATGGATCCAAAATCCGCACCCTTATCGTACCGCAACGACTCTTGGTGCAAAACATTCATCGACCTGGCTGGTACTGCCAAGCAACCGCAAGTGAGAGCCCGGCTTTGTCCGCCAACGAAACAAAAACATCGGCATATCCGAGCACGACAGATCTAGTGAACTGTGAAAATCCTTTCGTCCTCGACCTCCCAGCAAATTCAGTCAGAACTAGGTACGTATCAAATTAGTTTAACCTGGGTTTCTAGCTGAAACGGCATCCTTCGCGATCCACCAGACTCACACATCACCCGCTGCCCAATGGCGCTTGGCGCTTAAGTGCAGCAGGCTTGCACCCCGCGCGTCACCTGCGGTATAGAGAGGATTCGCTTCAAGTCGGTACAGGTGTACAAAGTTTCAGCATACAACTTGGCTTCAACTTATGTATCAAAAGAAGTTTCGAGTAAAACATGTCCAAAACATTCCAAAACCACAAGTTGTCGTCGTATATAACTTATAACTTATAACAGGAACCCTTGTGGGAAGAGTTTTCAGGGCAGTCATACTCCCGGGTATTCGCTCACGAACAACCAGAACAACGTATATCAAATGGCTTTCTGAACATTTTCTGAACGCACATAAAACAACCTATAGGGGTCCAAGTACCTTCTGAGAAACTCGGACTGGGGCCACGCGGACTCCTGGACGCGAACCAAACTGCTACAGGTTTTTGGACTCAGTCCAGCCCTCACCCGAGCGGCTCCTTGCTCTTTTCGCCCGAACGGGCGTTTAGAGATGTGATGAGAAGCACCTCTACGTGGGAAAATGAGCCCAGTCGTAGCTGTGTTTTGTTCGGGTCATGATCGGTCCTCCCAGTTTCTAGGCCAAATGGAGAGGTCCAACAAAGGTTGCGAGCCTCGCAGCACGACAGACCAAGCGAATTGGAAGAGCACTCCACTTCTGTTTGGGACGTGATGACTACCCGACCCTCACTGCCAGATCTCCTCTGGTGGCTTTTTTGGAGACTAAAGGTGACCATCCAATGGGTGTCCTGGCTGGAGATGGTCTTAAGTAGTGTAGGATAGTCGATTGGAGGTCCAGGCACAGATCTGTCTCTGACTAGTGCTTAGTAGGGAATAAGGGAATGAAGAAATGCATGACCCCTCCACTACCAGGACCGTCCAAGAGGTCACCACCTGCGACTTTTAGGTCAGCAAAAGCCTCCAGAGGAGACCTGTAGAGTCGGGTGCTGGTAGAAGATATATTCTTAGGATCCAGCCACCCTCATTACGAGTCGCAGCCAACGGTCTGACCGGCCTCAACCCTCCAACTCTTCGTCCGAGCTGCAGGTTTCGAGCCAGGCACTACTGGGCTCCGAATCCAGAAGCTGCTTCACCAAGGCCTGCAGTTAGTGCAGGCATTCCAATCAACCAGGTCACCTGCAGTGGTTTCTTCAGCCGGGGACCACACTCAAAAGCCAACAAAACCACTCGGAGCCGAACCAATCCCAGGCCACAGGCTGAGCCTGCGAGTTGGGTGGCTTTCTTTCAGAAGACCACGAGTTGGGTCGCCCAAAAAAACAGGTCGACCGACCATGTCTTCAGATCGACCAAAGGCCAGATCAAATACAAAATACACCGTACCAGCACCTTCCAACAGGTCTCCTCTGGAGGCTTTTGCTGACCTAAAAGTCGCAGGTGGTGACCTGTTGGAAGGTCCTGGTATGTGAGAAAAAGCCGTCGACCCTGCATGGGCCAAAATCATGGATGCTTTCCACTGTTCCACTGAAGTCGAGTGGAATTCAGGAGAAACACATACCTCACCCATATTCCCTATTTTAAAGGCCAGCCCTTCGATCAGTTTTTTGTCCTCAATACTGACATTCTCGGATTTGCAGCTGAGGACACTGTTCACAGCCCCCCTTCCTGCTAGCTCTGTAGTAGATCGCTACCGAACAAAATGCCGAGATCAAGCAACAATCACCTCTTAGAGAGGGGACTGGAAGCAACTGGAAGAGGGTTGATGAACCAAACCACACCGCCGATACCATGTACCATGGAAACTGGCATCCATTGGATCCATTTCGCCGGCCTCATCGCCTTTCTGAACCGCCGGCAACAGTCCTGCATCCATCATCATCCATCTATCGAGATTCCAGGTCGTTCAGAATCAGGGCAGAACCCACCCCAAGTTTGACCCCTGGGAAAGAAACCTTAAGAAAAGCCCTTGGGCCAAGGGGAGTCCTCACTAGAATTACCAACATCCTACCTACTGGTGACGCTTGCATCTGCAAACACCCGCATCCGATGCGCCGTGCTGCTCGGATGAGCTCTGTTTCTGTTGCTCGGATGAGCCCTGTCACGCTAGTATCGCTCACGATATCTTTTCTCATGACTTGGAAACCCAGTGGCAAGAAGAAAAAACAGTCTGGATGTGTCCACTTAAGCAATCACTTGTAAAAGGATCTCAAGCTGACGCCATAGTGGAACAACCATTTGGTATCGAGTTGTTTCTTGCTTGGGTGTCCAGGGATATCCATGTCCTCTGCCAAAACATGTCAAGCGTTTTCTGCAGGGTCAAGTTGCACAAGAGCAGGACTTCTCACAAGCACCTATAAGTAATAGCTCAATCCCTGAAATCAATTCAGCTTGAAATAACGGCAAAAGGTCCAAAGCTGCTCAGCTGCTCCAAGGAACAAGGTCAATCCATGAAATGAACCATGTATAACTATGTATAACCGTATAACTGTATAACGTAACAATGGGATTCACATACCCCCTCCAATCAGTTTGGTCCGCTTTGGGGCCTCCAATACGAAACGCCAACTCTAAAAACGCCCCAAAGTTGATAGTTTTTGCACTGACCCCGCCAATTAGTTTGGTTCCGCGTTTTCGGGACCGTTTTTGTTTCAAGACCAACCTTGTTGACTTTCCATCTGGGGGGCTCATATATAGAGATCTAGTCTTTGGGGCCTCCGCGAGGGACGTGGTTGAAGGTAAAACGAGTTTCAAGGAGCTCATGGATCCCCATGGTAAATCATTTAGACTCTCACTCTAACTACCTAACTACCTCTGAACGAGGCAGAAGTCCCTCACCCCCAAAATCAGCCAAGCTGTAGAATTTGGAGCTGTAGACCAGGCGTTTCAAGCAATGCCCTGTGAATCCTCAATGTGGACTGCTGGTGGTCAAACCAGTGCAAGGCGTCCTCGTCGGAAATTCAGCAAAGTCACGTCAGCCAGCATATAATCGATGATCTCCTCGAGTGGCAATGCTCGAGCAAATCGCTCTGTTGAGAGGTGAGGGGCCCAAGAGCAGAGCACTGAGAGTCGAGCAGGGCACGGATCGGTATGGCTTTTCTGAATCGGTTGGGTGAAAAACATCCGGATGGAGGATCCCCCCAGCTTTTTCCTGCAGCTCATACCCGCTAGCCGGAGACACTGCGTTTGAACACATAAATAGGACAAATAGGATATGTTAACAAAACAAAATAAACCCTACGGCTCCAAGTAGTTTCTCAGGGTTTAGAGGGTCATACGTTCTGAGGAGGTACTTGAAGCCGTGGGCAATATAAACAACATGCTCGACTTCGGAGAATTGATGGGAACAGGGCAGTAATGTACTGTAGATGTGCCATTTGGAAGAAGGCCGCAAGGTTGCTTGTTTCAGCAGGTTGGGCAACAACCGAAAAACCGGGATCAGATGAGCCTTCTTCGTCGCCGTTCCTAGCCGTTCCTTGACCCTGACATGGCTGCCGCCCATCCAACCCACGCCCAAAAATTCCTTCTGAAAAGCTATGCCACCTTGCAAGGCCATCGCCCAAAAACACATGAAAAAAACGAGTCATAATTGGAAGTTCCAACCAATGCAGCCGTCCTCCAAAAGCCACTATGCAGAGCCCCAAGTGGAGCGAAGCAAAAATCGGAATACACATGTTTTAGAGTGTTTTGGAGTGAATTTCGGGAGGATGCTCGTATCCATTCTTCCGCGGCTCGTGATCCATTCTGTTGACATCTCCTACGCCTTCCCAAAGGCCGAAACCTCTGCTAAATCCACCGAAAAACCCCCAACAGGTCTCCGATGGCTGGAGGGTTGGGAAGGGCCCTAACAGGTGTCAATTGGTGACCTGGCAGTGAGGTGCTGGTAGAGAATTGGGATTGGTGACCTTGCTCCATCTTCCGGTCTTCCGGAGCCTTGCTCAGATCGCCAATTGGTCGACCTATGGGTCGAACCCCCCAGTGCCGGCTCTCCCTTAAGTCATTCAGCCAAAAAGGCCTCATCACCAAGCAGTTCTTCAGAAGTTCTTCAGACATTTCTCCACCAGCACTCCCCACATATCCCCTGAAGCCGCGGATGATCCGTCACCGAACGAAGGAGGTCCAGCGCCTGGTGCTTGGCCTCCACCGCATGGTCCAAGGCTGTAAGACCCTGGAGGTCGCTGCTGTTGAGCGCCAATTGAGGCCGAAGCTCTAAGAGACGCTGGATGACCTGCGGCTTTGCACGGTTGGTTTGGACGGTTGGTTTGTTGGTTTCTTTGTCTGAGTGTTTCTTACATGTTCCTTTAAAGGAAGAAGGTGGCATCTTGATCAAATGTCTCCTCGCATCATTGGGGCTTGTCAAAAAAAACTGTTCATACCGACCTGGATCATCCAACGGGTCAATTGTCTAGCCTGCACTACATGGATCTCCAGCCAGGACACCCATTGGATGGCTATTTCAATAAGATTCTGCATGACCTGGACCCTTCAATTGGTGCCCTCTTCTAGGCCCCTGATCGCCCAGTGGGAGCTGAGTGAAGCGAGGCGACCCCAGGTGTTGCAGGCCAAAACAAAGCTGACTCCCAAGACAGAAACTGTCTGGGTGTCCAATTCAAAAAAAGAAACGCAATCCTTGAGCAGGAGATGTTGTTTTGTTGCTAAACAGAAGGAATGAAAGAAAGAAAGAAAGAAAGATCCAAAGAACAAGAAAAAACATCTTCTCAGTACTGTGAACCAGTTGCCAACATCTCATCCTCCAATTCGCCTTCAGATGTCCAAAGCGCGCCGCTTGGATCAATGGCGTGTGCCCTGGCGCGTTGGTGGTGGCAAGTTCCCAGCCCCAGACCAAAGCGGGGGAGTGCCTTCCTAAGGACAGAATGCCTTGCTTGACTAGTCATTTGTCTTGGACTCTTGCATGCGAGGGAGCAAGACATATTCTTCCCCAAGCTTCCCCATACACACCTGGACCTCCCAGAAGCTTTGGGATATGTTGGGTAGGTGTTGAAACACATATCACTACCATTCACTACCGGAATGAATTACCGGGTAGCAAATCACAAGATCCACCAAAATGGGAGTAATCATCCGATTTAAAAGGCTAACACTACACTCTCACTCATGGGAAAGTCGAAAGTAACCTCACAATGCCTGCATGCACACCTGGATATGTGTTTGAGAGGGAACTAAAGCCTGAAAAAGCAGGAAATGTCTTGTCCTACCTGATGCTTGCGGAAACCTGTAGATGAGGATCTACGTGTATGTGGACCACCTGAGCAGGATCAGGGACATCCATGGAGATGTTGGAAGAAACACCGAAGAAGTGTAAGACTGAGTCCCATCCCGCAGCTGGTTTCAAGGGTTCCATGGACTGGGCCCAAGTGAGGGATGCGAAAACCAACAAAGCGCAATCCCTAATGTAGATTTTTGAGTAATAAACCCACTCAATTGAATTGGAAATCCTCTTCATTATGGGAGGGTTGATTAATCAAGAGTCTTACATTACAGCCAGGGTCCAACCTCTTCTGAAGGGCCCCAAGGCTGTAACGAGTCGAGCACGAGTGGGCATGTCCAGAGAATGATCTGAAGAAAGGATCACCACCACCCGTTGGAAGCTGCAACTTGGACAGCAACAATCTGGCATGAAAACCCGAAACTTCCTGGCCTGAATCTCGAACAACCATGGTATGACGAATTGTGCCGAACGGAAGGGGTCTAGGTGACAAGGGTGGACCAGAAACAAGTGGGTCCAAAAACCACCTGTGGAAAGGTCCTGGTAAAAAAGACTGTCTATCTATATGGCTACGCTGTGCCAGACGCACGTGTGGCATGTGGCACGCCTTCATCATCTTTCACCTCGACGTCTGCAAATTCTCCTTGGATGCGCTCGCTCGAGAGGGTGGTTAATACTAAAACCCTTGGTTCGGGCCCGGACCCCTGCGTTTCCGTGTCTGGTCCGACCCCTGCCATGGAGAGCGCAAGGATTCTTCGGGAAATAGCAGATGGCCCAGGTCAATAGAGTTGACACATATCAACTGACAAGTGGACAACATATTATTGCCCCAGCCGATATCAATCAATATCACACTATAGTGGACCAATATATTATACATGTCTTAAATAGGTACACAGGACACAGCGGATGAACATTTGTATCTTGAATTAGCAATGACCATAGTCAACTCGGTTAGCACATATAGATTGAATATGTTTATGCCTGAGCGACCTCTAGTTTGGACCACCAACCACCCAAAATATGGTCTTCTAGTAATTGTCACTCAGACTCAATAGTGGATTACTATATCTTCTCTCTATACTGCCCCTGGCAATAATCTGGCAATAACCATTTTGTGAATACCAAACGGGTGCTTTTCCTCTTTCATGACTATTTCAGGAGTGTCTCACTGGAGAAAGGCTTGCAATCCTCATCATGCACTTAATATAAATTTCCTTTGTTTACCTCTCTATCTGCCGGGTTCACTCTCTTCACATCTTACTTCACCATGGCTGTGGGTTTTTCCACCAGGCTATACCGAATACCAGGTCAACCTATCAGGGTGAGCTCCGGGCATCGGACCGACCCTCCCCCCGCGAGGCGTCCGGGCGTCGGATGATCAGCCGCTCCAGTGTCGCCACGTTGCCGGCGGCCGCGGCGGTGCTGGGGGCGGGGGCTCGGGTGCAGAGCGTGGAAGGTTGGAGTTGGGGTCGAGACCGCCTGAAGAGGTTGGAACTGAGAGACCTGATGGCCAACTGAGAGACCGAGAATGGCCACTGGGAGACCTGATCACCTAATTAGTCACTTAAACATATGTTTGGGTGCATATGGATGCATCTGGAAGATCGGCCGAGGTCACTGCTCAACCTCTCGGATGGCCTGGGCGGTGGGACGGGCACCTCTTGTGATCTCTCGTGACCTGGGGGACTTGGAAAAAGGTGACCTCCAAATTGAAAGCATGAGTCCCGCACGAGGTGTGTCTTTTTCTCTCTCCCAGGTTGTTCCGGGATTTCAAAAAACATGATCCCACACGAGGGTCCAACCATCCTCACACTGGACGAGGGATGCAGAAAGAAAGGGGGGCAGCCCTTCTTTAACCCTGAAAAAAATTCTAACCCTGACCTTTCTTTTTAACCCTGGAACCTTCTTTTCTAACCCTACACTATTCTATTTAAACCCCGGGTTGAAATAGAGTAGCTTCTTCAAGCTTCTTGGGACGACAGGTGAAACGACTTCCAAGGAAGCTAGTTACTATACTATCCTTCCAAGATGTACTCAGAAAACTTCTTGTTGCGACAGGCGAAACGATGCGCAAGGAAGCTTCTAGTTGCTAGTAGTAACCGTGTAAGAAATACACAGAAGTTTTTGTTGAAACGACTCCTGAGGAAACTAATGCACAACACCGGATTCAGTGCGCACATGCTGCTGGTTCAGCCCAAAAACATCGCAAACATGTTACACAATAAAAGGCTCTCTCTAGGGCATCTGACAAGTGGGTGTCAGTCTTGGTGTGGTCTCATGACAGCAAGCTTTTCGAAGCCTTGTGCGCAAACCATAATATCAGAAAAAGGGCGGTCCTCTCAACCCGCAAGCTTCTTCCTGAGACCGGGAAACCCCGTCACAAGCATCACAGAACACTCACGGTTGATACAAATTTATGACGCTGGCTGATTTGAGTCATCCGGGTTCCGGTGTGAAAAAAAGGACGCCTTAGTGAATTGACACGCTTTCCGACGAAAACTGCTTGAGCAGGAATCTGTGATGGAGTTGAATGTGTTAGCGCGCGGCCGAAAACTTTGCAATGCATTGTGATGTACGCACTGGCTGCAGCACAGGTGAGTGTTGGAAGATTGATGCAGCGCAAACATGCGCGGAAGCTGCAGGCATCTTTATACGCAACGTTAAATAGAGTAGTTTCTTCCCCAGATAGCGCTCGGCGGCCTTTTCTGGCCTTCCACCATCGGCTCGTTGATGCTACCTCGTCGCTGCGGTCGACGACTCTAAGGAAGCTATAGTTACTAGTATTCATTAGTATTCTTCCCAAAGAAGCTTCGAGTTGCTAGAAAGCTTCGAAGCCATACACACAAGCTTCTTGTTACGACAGGTGAAACGATTCGCAAGGAAGCTTCTAGTTGCTAGTAAGCTAAGAAATACACAAAACCTTCTTTTGAAACGACGCTAAGGAAGCTAGTCACTAGTATTCATCAGTATTCTTCCGAAATATACCAAAAAAGCTTATTGGTACGACAGGTCAAACGATTCGCAAGGAAGCTTCTACTTGCTAGTAAGCTTCTAAGAAATACACAAAAGGTCTTGTTGAAACGACTCCTGGGGAAGCCAGATACTAGTATTCATTAGTATTCTTCGAAAGAATATGCAAAAACTTCTTGTTACGAGGTGTGTCCACCTAACATACCCTGGTGGAAACTTGCTTGAGCTAGTCTTAGTCGTGTCAAACAGTGGTTGTTCATTGAATACCATGCCCCAAATTGTGGTTGGAATTCTAGGGATATAGTTTACTTTAACAGACCTCCGGCTACTCATGGTCTGAACCCAGAGCCTTCAAGATCCTATACATGAAACGGTTCCATCCTCTGGCGGTCTGCAGGCCGCGCACCGACGCGTGGAACCTGGTCTTTGCCGACGGACGGGCGCCCAGCGCAAAGACGGCGGTACCATATTGGATATCATATCTGTAAAAGTTAACAAATCTGTCTTGCTGAGAATACACGCATATATACTATATATATATATATATTTGTTATTTCTTTTAAATACAGCTGTTTTGCTTTCTTCGCTTTCTGTGTTTTGGTTGTGCGGTAGTCTCCCCGCATTCTTTCAATGCATGTGCTGCACTCTTTGTGGATTTGTACCACTTGCTCTTTGAATCGAGTTTGCACCGTACTACAACAACATCAACCGGGACAGAAGACCGTGCTGACAGTCTCCGCAGATTATTTTTCTCCAAGGTTTCGAGAAATGACCCTTGGGCTGAGGTATAAACACGCTTTCTGTATTTCACCTTGCGCGGCAATCTCTCCGCGTTGTTTCGATGCATCTGCTGAACTCTTTGTGGATTTGTCGCATTTTCTGTTTTGCGGAATTGCATTCAAGTTGATCTTGCCTTGGAGAGCTTTCGCAAACACCACGTGCTCGCAGTTGGCATGCATAAGAAACTCCAAACAGGTGCATAAAATAGAATCAACGCTTTCCCGGTATTTTCTCTTCTGTCGCGGCCATGAAGAGTTTGGCAGGTGGCCTTGCATCACGACGGCATGTGTTTTGAAGCACTTGCGAAGGACAGTGAGATTGATGTCGCTGCTTTCATCCACAATGCCTGCAGCCTTCACGGAGGTGGTGAGAGCGTCTCCCTCTGAACATATCATGCGACATAGACATTGAGCAAAAATCTTCACGAATTGCCACCTGCGCCGGCAGCATGCCATCTTGCTTCTGTGCTGCCATGACCCAGAAATTGGTCAAGCCATCAATGCCTGGATTCCTTGCGTCGTCTGTGCGCAGAACGACATGGCAATAATTCCGAGTCTTGTCAAGACGCACTTCCCGCGCATTCCAAAAATCGACTGCAGGAGAACGGCCTGCGCTGCGTAAAGTTTGACCATTCAGCAATGTGCTCGCCGTGCTCTCGGGTCATGTTCGAAATATTTTTCTTTCGCCCCATTCAAACTGTTCTTGCCACGTCGCAGAAAACAGCTTCTGCATGTGTTTAAAAATGTTTCGCGCACAAGAGCAATTGCTGCCCTGCACCTGTGCCTGCCAGCTGGCATGGAAACTTTCAATGGTTTGCGATCCTGACGCAGTTCCAGCATATGTGCCAATGACACCCGACCAAAATCCAGCAAACCACAAAGCTTCTGGGTTCCAGCTCCCACGATTGCAACGAAATTGTTTCCCTAAGCTCTGTGGCGTCGACAAGCGGAAATACGTATCTTGCAAGTATGTGACTGCCTTATTCGATCTATTCTCCAGCCAGGAAAAGGTAAAATGCCAAATGATGTCGAATAACTGCGCCGTGGGTAGGATGCGGCTGATTTGTATAATCTCATCTAAGGTGGCAAAGTCATCATCTTGTCTGGCAGCTTTGGATTTCCTTTTGCTCTTTTTTGCAGGCGCTTTTGGACTTGAAGACGCTTTTGGAATTGAAGAAAGCCTCGGTCAATTGAAACACTAACACAAATGAGCAAAACATCGGAAACGCTACACAAAAGTCAACTAAGGACAGGACGGTGTGATTCGTGAAGCAATCCCTGTAGCGTCTTGTACGACGCCCGGCGCTGGGAAGTCATCACAAGGCCTTGCAGCTGGAAAGCAATCTTTCCGCGATTTTTCAATCCCCTTGCTGAAGTCTTTGTGGATTTGTATGACCTGTGCTTTCAAAGCGAGTTTGCAACATATCTTGGCGGTCTCAGTCGCAACTGTGAAGAGATGACTGACATTCTCCGCAGATTCTGTGTTCACCAGAGCTTGCAAAAATGGTTCTCGCGTTGAAGTATAGACATCTGTCGTCTTCGACCTACTGCGACTTGCTTTGGCTCGTGAAATTTTGTCACTGGAAACCAAAAAGGATAAAGTCAGCATTGCGCACTCGTTCACCCGATTTTTTGTTTTCCATCGATGACCAGCTTGACGAGTTTGTTCTCTGCTGCCTGGGCTCGCTTCAACATGCCCGGACAGGTCCACACGACGCAAACTTGGTGTTCAGACACAACTGAAGCATGCAGAACTACCAGCAAAGCAGCAAGCAAGCAACAGGAGCAGCGGCGGATCACCTTTCAGGCAGCTACAAGCCAGCAGCCACAGGAGAATAGCAGCAGCATGAACAACAACACACGCAAAACAGCAGCAAACCAGCGGCCGCAGCAGTATCCAACCAGCGACACTCGCAGCAGCAGCGTCAGCAGCAACTCAAGCGCCAGCTAAGCAGTAGGAAAGCAACAGCCAAGCAGCAGCATAGCAGCAGCAAAGTGCCAGCGGCAACAGCAGCAGCAGAAGCAGCAGCAACAACAGCAGCAACAAAGCACCAGCAGCAACAGCAGCAGCAGCAGCAACACCACAGCAGCGGAAAATAACATAGGAAAAGAAAAGCTTTGGTACAAATCCAGTCCCAGGATTTGAACCGAGGTGCTTCACAAAACCATCGTAGGCAGGAACAGGGTAGTTTTTGCGGAAGGGGGTGGCTACCCCTGGTGGGCACCTTGGCTTAGAAAAGTGTGTAGCAGGGTTCAAAAAGAAGGCGGGTTAAAGAAGCATGATTTACGGGTTGAAAAAAATAATCCCAACGGGTTCATTTAATAGAGTCTTGGTTACTCTACACATTTCCCTGACCCGGGGTTAGAATAGCGACTATGGGGCTTAAAAGAAAGGTCAGGGTTAGAAAAAAATGTCAGTGATGTCAGTGGATTAAAAAAACATCCGGGACCCACCCACACAGGCATTCCCATATAGGATTCAAAACAATTTAAATTGCACATAATTGCACCCAAAAAGTACTCTGGGGCCGGATCCTCCGCCAGAGGAAAAGAACAGTATCAATGCTCTCGCAGTTTAGTGGTCATGTTGAGTCTTTAACTCCAGCTGCACACCCTGTGCAGCCCCGCCCTCTGCAGAGGAGCGGCAGTAGCTTCTCCGATGCCATCGCGGAGTGAGGGCGTGGGAAAAGCCGCGCGTGGTCAGGGATGGGTCGCAGTGGTCATTGCTCCGCATGCTTTCTAGATGGAAGAACATCGGAATATGATTTTTCTGCTGGCTTCCAAGTGCCAAAGCCCCCAGTTTGGGTGTCTATCAATAGCTGTTTAGAGGTTAAGAGGTGTCCATGAACCACACACATCCATTAACTGGTGGGGGCTCTGGCAGAGAGGTGCCCACTTCTTTGCCGGTCATTCATGTTTGATCCCGGTCCCATGTGCTCAAGTCCTCCGTATCCTTCTTGGCGACAACGATGTGTCGATATGTGTGTTTTCCGCACCAAACCAAGGCCTCCAAACCTCGGCTTGGGCCAACACGGCGGTGGAGGCAACATGAATCAAGAAGAAATAGGTCTTTCCCACCCATATGCGACCGACGATCGGACCCCGATATGGAGTGGTTTTGAGGGAAGTTCAAACAGATTCGACATGTCGCCAACAGCAGTTCGGCGGACGGAAACTGTGGCGGGCTGTGCAACATCTTCATTCATCCGCTACCCACAGAAACACGAGCTGCCAATGTATCTGCTAAGCTGAGAGTTGAGGTGAAAGAAGACACATCACACCACATCCGAGGCTCCTAAGGACATATAAGAACAAGACCCATCTTCAGACCCTCACTCTCGTGGCTTTCCTTTGGGCTCTTGGAAGGCCTGAAATCCCTGTCAAACCACTCCATAGGACTCCACCGGCGGGTTCCACCGGGGTGGCAGGTTCCACGGCGCGCGCAAGCGTTCTACGCCGCTGAAGCGTGCTCCGAGTCTACGCATCCCGGCGCTAGCAAGTGCTTCAAAGTCTTCTGGTAGAAGTTCACATCCAGCAGGACCTGAGGAGGTTCCAACCCTCCAAAGCACCCAAACCAGCAACCTCTACAGGAAAGTTGGAAGTGGAGGGGCAGACCAGGCACAGAGTCGGAATCATTCTTCCTCTTCAAAGTTTAGACAAGTGCCATTGCTGCAATGCTTACACGCCCGTCGAAAGAAACAGTTCTTCTCTGGTGAAGCCTGCCAATCACTCCCCTGCTCTTCCAAGTTTCCTATTCCACCTCAGGTTTCGGCTTCTATCCTGCCATTTTGTGGGTGGGTATCATAGTGGATCCCTCAAAAATGGGTTGCGTTTACCGGTCCACGCGAGAAGTTCCGCTCGTCCCCGTGTACCTGCATGGGCGGGGTAGTGGCTCACCCGGATTTTCCCCAGTTCCTCCATACCCGTTAAAATCCATGGGACTGGAAGATTTGCCTACATGGGGGCCCCATGTTCTCATGCTGGAAAAAAGGGGGTCAATGCCAATGCGAATGCTAATGGAACCCATAGAAAACCACACACCTAAAAAAAAAATGAAAAAAAAAAGGAAAAAAAGAACGTAAATTCACCAGGAGTCACATGTCGGGGTGCCTTACTAATGGAGGCTGCCGTCGGGGTGCCCAAATTCTACACATCCACGGCCCCTGGATGGGACTTCAAGAAGCACCCAACGCCCTCCATGTGACTCTTGGCAACAGGTGCCTCGCTAGTAGTAACAGGTGCCTTACTAGTAGTAACAAAGAAGCTATATAGAATTAATTCAACAGTCCCATCCATCGGAATTCTTCGGGTCCCATGGGTCTCCGTCCGGTGTCGTCGCGTCCGGTCTCCGGAGCGGTCTCCGGAGCAGTACTCCGTCCGACGCACGACGAGACCTGAGAAGCACCATCAACGACTAGGCCAACGGTGACATCAACTACTCGGCCAACCATCAACTAGGCCAAACCATCCGGGTTGACTCCGAAGGAAGAAGAGCTGGGAGGTGATTCCGCTTTTTGGAAGCACCTGGGGCGAAAGGGAATGCGTCCAAGGTGCTGCGTGTGGAGTACGCTGCAGTAGCTTTGCACTGAAACCATGTTGAAAGGCCTCGCCGGTAAACGGGGCGGAACCAGTTGCGCACCGTGTGAAGACTCCTCCAGACCCTGACTGGATCACCTTCCTGGTCCTTTGCCCCATTTACTCCTGTGTCACCACCCAGTACCTGTGGGAGATAGCAATGAACTTGCTTGCAATTGAGAGAAGCCTCTGGACGTGTAGATTGTCTGGACGTGTAACGGCTTCATGGTCTAAACGTGATATAATTAATCTATACCAGCACCCAGCACCTACAGGTCTCCGAAGTGGAGGCTGACCCTTGCGTTCGGGAACGTTCCGTCGCGCCCTTTTTGACCTGTTGGTTTCGGTCCTTCGGTCTCCTTCGGTCCTGGTACAGATATGAGGCTAGTTGGTGCATCCCAATTCAGATGCGACCTTTGCCCTCCTCAAAGGCTGTTCGGCCCTGTGAGATCGCCATGAACCGCTGAGGGGAGGGTCCGTGACGCTTGAGAGGCCGCTTTGAGGGTCCCTGAAGGTGGGTGACGCTTGAGAGGGAACTTCTTGCAGAACTTCTTGGCAAGTTGGATGACGACCTAGGTTCCAAGTTGATCAAGACCTAGGTCAGGCACGAGTCCCCTTTCCAGAATGAACCACCTTTGGGTATAGACAACGGCAAAATACCTGATGAAACCACAGGGCTTCTCCAATCTGCACCCGCAAGCCTGGGCGACATCAAACATGAATCTTTCAACAGATGTAAAGCACCTAAGAACACCACACCACCCACACCTAGACCCAAAAAGGAATGAACCTTTATAAGAATTATAGACAATAGTCTTCCAGCATCACCCAAAGTAGGTGGTTTATAATGGTTTATAGACCCCCCTGATGTACATTCCACCCAACAACCACCCGAAGTGGGTGCTGGTGAGTTACACTAGTTGAGCACCTCAAACCTCCCGGACGATGGACCCTCCTCACCTTTGTGGGGGGGAGGAGCCAAGCACCGGTTCCACGCTCGGTTCCACACGCTTCGCAGACCCCGGTTTCACGCGGTTCGTCGTCGTCGCCTCCTTCAGACTTCTCAGCAGCTCGTGTCCCGCATGCTGGGGATCCTCCGACCCATCAAGCTCTGGTGAACCCCCAAGGATCAGGTCGACGAAGGGACGAAGTTCCATCATCTCCTCCTACTCCTACCCCCCCTCTATCCCTTCAGAACAGCCATCAGTTGGCGATGGAGGGCAGTAGGATTTGGGTCCCGGAAGGATTGGCTCGATCTAAGGTTGCTCGACCTCGGTCGCCTCCGGAAGGTCCTGATGTGACGGTCGCCCCCTATCCGAACTCCGGGGTGGGTGAAAGCTAGGAATACACACCCACCTGGAGCTTCAAACAGGAGGGGACGTAGCCCGAAGCAAATGCATTCACGGCAATGACCAGCTTCTTCAAAAGTGACCGTTGTTGCAGGCTTAAGTGACCTCAATGTGGGATCTCCAAGGGTCACTATATGCAGAACCAGGTACATCCAGGTACCCATGTTCGGAGATGCTTTGCTGACTAGGTATCTCCAGGTCTCTCCCCCCCGCGTCGGGGAAAAAGCAAGACATCGAAGAGTGAAAACAACTGGTTTGATGCTCACGATCTCTCAGGACATGTGAGGAATCAAGGAGGACCCCAGACCCTCAGGACATGTGTGCAGTCATACCAAGAAGACTGGTGTGAAGCCCTCAGACTGCTCATGTCTAACCCAGAAACCCCAGTGAGCTCCAGATAGGATGGTGTTTGATTTGAAAGTATTCCTTAAAGTTGGACAACCTTGGAATTCTTCGAAGTTATAAAGCACATCCTCACATATCCTCGCCACATACCTTCATGAGTTACCTGAACCTCTGAGAAAAGCCGGATCAGCTGAGCCCCCCTCCCAAGCCAAGCTGTATAGCGATGCCTTTCGACCAAGCCCAAGCCTGTTTAGACTTCTTCCTAGGTCCTTGAAGGCCGGCCATCACATATCATCAGGTCCCTTCTTCGAGTCCCTCCACCAACTTCCACAAGTACCTCCTGGCTTAGAAGGTCAGCTTGGACTGTCACCAACTCAGTCTACACATGAATCGGTACACCAAAACATCACCGTTCACTAGGGATCCACATACCTTCTCAGGACTCAGGAGGGTACTTGGGCCCTCCAAACCTACATCACAGTGTCTCCAAACACCTTCTAAAAAGGTACGACTGGATCCCTAGGGATTGTTACCAATTGGGGTCACACGACGTTGTACACCTCCAACATAAGTGCGGGTGGATTCCCGCCCGTTTCAAGTCAAAGACTTCTCTGGGCACCGATTTGGGGTCGAAGATCCGCAGAAAACGCTTGGGGGGCGGGACCTGAGGATCTGAAGGAACATCAGCCGCTTCCTCATCTTTCCTACAAACAAAAAACTGAAAAGGCTCTCAGATGCCCTAATTAAGTTGAAGAAAATGCATGTTTTAGAAACTCCAGGAGGGGTGAGTTCCTTTGGTTCATGAGGTCCTTGCGGTAACAGCTCTACCGGCTCCAACGAAACAGCTCTTCGCCACGCTGACTCAGCAGACCGCTGAGAGCATCCATCTGAGGCTCCCAGCAGCTGCCATCTCCTCAGACCGGACGTGTGCTGCCTTTACAACGCTAGCGAAACAAACGTGAACATACCAGGACCCCCAAGGAGTACTTTAATGGATACCGCTAATCACAGCTAAGGGGTTTGTTATATGGTTATAAATAGACACCCCGAACAGGAGGGTCCTGGTACGTGAAAAACTTGAATTCTCAAGCAGCTGCAAACGATTAGGCCAGGCATCTCGTCGTTGGGAAATGTTTGCAGCTCCGACAGTGACCATTGGGGACTACTACCATCCCTTAGGTTCTCCAGTGTGCCCTTTTGCTTCGAATTGTGAGACTCTAGACCCAAATCCCAGCAACCTATATATCCGCTCAAAGAGTAAGGGCGCAGGAGCTGGTGGCGTTTTGGCTCGCGAGTGCCGGCGGAATGGTCGAATTACGGACTCGCTCCGTCTGAGGGACTGAACATGACCAGACCATTGACCTCCTCTTCAGATGGTTTGTGGACCTCCCACTCTCCATCCGGGTGATAGGATGGAAAGAAGGAACATTATATATACGTATAGTTGATCAGAATGGAAGAACCATTGGAACAGCTAGCTTAGGGTTACAACATGGTAAAACCCCCGGAATGCCGAGCAAGCACAATGGAAGAAGAAACCAAGCCCGTCAAGGTGAAAAGAACAAGGTCGTACAATGTCCTACAATCACCCAGAATGGCCAACTTTTATTCGGACTCGACCTGTCTGCGTCATCGAAACATCAAAAATCTCCGATTTTGGGGGTCAATCTCCTTGTACGCTCCGACTCACTAACATGGAAGTGGAAAACCCCCGTTGTTCGTAAAGGAAAGTAGTCTTCCTTTCGGGACCATGCCATCCACTTCCATGTGATGTGTTCGTCAGAGTGTACACTCCCTTGACTTCAACAGATGGCATGGCCCCGATGTCGGAAGATCTGACGGAACAGGGAGGGGTGTTTTTCCCTCCATAGTCAGTTTCAGGGAGTCTATAGACATATTGGAAGGAGAACGTAGCAAAAGTGACTGAATATCATCAGGTGACGCAAGACCGATTTGTTCTTCATCTGGCCTCAAGGGGCCCACTCTTTACAACACCCTGCAGAAGTAAACTGCTGTTGGTGAATTATAGGGAGGTATAACTGGTACTGTAGGGGGGGTTATGAATCAAATTTCATCAACAGTTCTGACATCCCCCAGAAACCCCTCCCGGACAGAAGACCTTCCCGGTTCTCCTGCGCAATGGAGCCCTGCAAAGAACTCTCGAGCGGATGCTCATGCGCGGCAAAGAGGATGCCTCGTGTCCACAGTTCGCAGCTAGAGGACTGGTGGACTTCCAAAAGTTCATCACTTGAGGAGCTGCGAAGCAGTTTCTGGTGATGCAGCCAGTTCTAAGAGGACCAAATAGAATCCTTCCATACCATTCTCTCTTGAGAAAACACCGAACCGTTAGGCTGGACCTGTGACCGGTCAGGCTGTGACCGGTCTCGTTCCCCTCCACCTCCGCGCCTTCCACGAGGTGGATCGGCAAGTTCCACCGGTGGCCCGACAAGTCGATCGGATCACGAAAGCCGATGGGGAAGTTCAACTCCTGCGGAGTCCGCGCGGAGCGGAATCTCCGAGTCCAACGCAGCCTCCGTTTTTTGGGGGACGAAATGGATCCGATCCATGATCCAAGGAACCTGAGGGACCCATTGCCCGACTAGTCAAGGGTTCCGAAGATGAGAAGTCCAAAAGTGCCCATCTTTTGTAGAACTCGACGATCTTTCCTTTGCTTGAAGCCTTCAGGAAGTTCCCGAATTTCAGAAGTCGGTACGAAAGAAGTCTCGTCGACCTCGCGGCGAATCTCATGACCTCCTGCGGTTCGGAGTTGGTCGGCTGCGAATCTCACTTTGCAGAATGTGCTGCACATCTTCCCGTTTTCTTTTCGGGCGTTGAAAGGGGTGGTTGTTTGGTGGGAAATGGGATGAAATGGGAGACATCGGATCTTGGAACGACAGGATCAGGTCTGATCAGGTCTTGATCAAAACGGTACAAGACTCCTCCTCCCCAACTAGGTCCAGTCGATGCTCCGTTTCCAGTTCAAGACATCGAAACTTGTACTCCGACTCTACGGGTTGCAAGTCTTGAAAAGGTATGAGAGGAGACCTGGCACTGACATTGTTGGTATGTGTTTGGTCGATTTGACCGACCGGACTCCGTGTTCCAACCGCCACGAGCCGCACGAGCCCGTGTCCGAGACCCGTGTCCGAGACCCGTTTCTAGAGCCTGAAAGAGAGACATGAGACACCCTAAAGAACCGATAAAAACCGGCACCTTCACTGCGTGCACCGATAGCTTTCGGGCTGTTTCAAGTCCCCTGTGGTGACGGTGCGCGAGGTCGTCGTCGGAAGCGACCATGAAAAAGGTTGACCTGGACTTAGTGACTAAGTCTAACATGTTGATTCAAGCTGGTTGTTCAAGATGACCCGGCGGAATCAATGGTGGGCCAAGAATCCTAGGGTTCAATTCTCTTCAATCCAAGACTCGCTCTTCAGCGGATGAAGCAACACATCCACCTCGTCCATGATGACCTCTGCGTAAGACTCGTCTATCCGAGACTTCAGGTTTCCGGGCAGAGCATCACCAGCAGAAATCGGCAGAACACTCTCTTTGCCCAGTGAGTTCTTGAAAAACCTGCGACTTGTGAGTTCGTACCTCCCAGTCGACCTGTTTGTACCCCAGGAGTGGGTTAACCCCGTTTGTTGTGTCATGTCCCAGTCATGTTCGAAGCTATACGAACCCAGTCGTCGGGTCCAGGAAGATGCCCAAACCTCTACTGGTGATCTCTGACCAGTCAAACTCAGGCGACACAAGTCCCGAAGATCACCTTTGGAAAGCATCACCAAGTTCAACCTATCAGAATACCAGGGCAGAGTCTTGCACCCAACTTCACAGATCATTTAATCAGAGGCCTGGCAACAGGGCCCCACACACCAAAAAACTATCAGCACCTTCCAAAAGGTCTCCTCTGGAGGCTTTTGCGGACTTATTGTTGGAGGATCCTGGTAAAGGCCTTTTGGGAGGCTCCTGGTATGGGCAAGATGAAGCGCACCTGAACCTCATTCAAGCCCAAAACGAAACACCGTTCTGCCCCCAAACGGCAGGTTCTCTCATCCACAGAAGGGGAACTCCTCCACAAAAAAAAGCCTTTGAACAAATAACTCTGGGTGTGCCTTCTGATAAAGCTGAACAGTATCCTGTGACAAACGTCTTTAAAGCACGAAATCATCACCTAACCTTTCACTTCTATCTGTATCCTCTTTATCCTCTTCATGGGCAAATATATGCAAACCTCCTTCCTTCAACACATCCACGTGAACAATTGTTGAAGACCGGGTCATCGTCTGAGAGGCCTCCCCCAAACGAGGAACAGAGTCACTGAGTCCTTCAACCTGAACCTCGATGCATTGGGGGTTCACAAATATAGCGTTCAGTGCTTTAAGCTTACAACCTGAGTCAAACTCCACTTACGTCCACATACTCTATATATTATATGTCATATATATATTGTATATATATAATATATTAAATGAAACCCTACCTTCCGAGGCCGTTTAAAGAATGGTTGAGCTGGTTTTGTCGCGTAAATTCCTTAGTAAAACAATGGTGGTTCGAGATTCAGGCTATTATATAGATCATTATAATCAATGGTGGGCCAAGAAGCCTAGGAAACATGGCTATGGCTCCGAGCCCAAGCCGCAAATCCCTAAGATTCGAAGTCAAAGTTCAGGAACTTCAGGGTAGCGGTAGCTCCTCCCTTTTTCTTGACAAGCCCACATGCCAGGACTGCGTCTGGACCTGTGAACGTCCGCACGGTCGCTTTGTTCACCCAATTCCTGGCTGCGTCCGAAGGGAAAACTCCTGGGGTTCCCTGCAATGCCGGTCCTTGGTGGAGAAGCCAAATGGATGCCGAAACAAATGAGACTCTTCTAGTCCATCAGCCAGGCCACAAGCCGCTAGGTTTGTCGGCCAAGAGTTTGAATGATGTTGATACAGTTTGGTTTGAAGGGAGTACGAACATGTCCCCAAAACCAGCTGTCTCACCAGCGTTTGGAACTGAGATCCTTAACGAGGTGAGACTTGCAAAGGCTGGTGGCACTGGTGGGCGTCAGACCCAGCAGTTTGGGCCAACATGTTCGAGCGGATACTCAGCCAAAGATGTATGCCTGGACCACCCCTCTGCATGGGTGTCCAGTGTCCAATCGGTTGGACACCCAATGGATGGTCCTGGTACTGATGCCATGGTGTTGTGCTCCGCAAAACCCCCAAAACGCCTCTGGCAAGTGGTGATGAACATCCATTGGTTGGAAACCCCTTGATTTTACTTCCACAGCTTGGCAGAAGAATCCTCATCTTGGATGGGTGTTGAACATTCCTCTCTGTGAAGGACAGCTTTTTCAGGTTTAGTTCGTTCAACCTGCAGCGATTCACTGGAGAGAGCTGACACATCAGGTGATCGTCCTGTCGCCCAAAACGGAACTGAACGGAACCACCGCCTGGGTCTTCAAAGTGAACTCTGCAATGATCCACCGGCCACTTTGGTCATGATCCACTGACTGGCTATGGGGGAAAAAAGGGGGCAAGCACACAAATCACCACCCCAACAAACCCCAACCCCCCAACAAACTCCTAACCCTCCCCCCCCCGCCCCCCCCAGCCCTGCCGGGCATCTTCCAGAGCTGGATGAGCCGTACTACGGCATCCGCCATGCCGCTGCGGCGCTCCAAGGTGTCCCGCTGCCGTGCCAGTTCGCGGTCCGAGCGCACCGAGGCGCCTCCGCGTGACGCCGCGTTTCGGACCGGATCGGATCACGTGGGACGACGCCGACCGATGGGGTCGACGCTTTCCGGACTGGCAGATTTACCCCAGTACATCCCAGTTACAGCGGAACCAGGGATTCGTTCGGTCGAACTGTTAGTCCTTGGAACCACTGATTACCAGCTATAAGTGGTAACTGGATGCCCTGGGTACATAGGGGTGGATGACCTGGGGTCAATGTAGGCATATCTTCCATGCATGGAGTGTCTGGGTAAGGTCCACTTTGTTGATTTCATCGCCCGAATCCCGAACTAACAACCATGAGTTCTTATAAGACATTTAGACTGCAAAGTCCAGGTCAACCCAACTCTATTGGTCGCAAGGAGGCTATTGGGGATGTGTGTGGCACTGGGTGGAGAAGGGATCCAGGAAGCTCCCGAGGGAATCCACTGCCACCCTCCTTGTCGGTACCGGTGATTGGACCCTTGGACCCTTGGACCCTCACCGACTTCGACCTCGAACGGAGCACCGGAGCGCCGTGGCCGTGGCCGTTTTCGGCGGTGAAAGCACGGAGGTCGGACCTTCGGACCTTCGGAGCTGTCGAGTCGGATCGAAGGACGATGGGCTGCGCTGAAGGAAGCAGGACGTGGTGAGACAGGACGAGGTGGTGATTTTCCAGGAGGAAGACGTGTCTTCAAGATCTGGTGGTGGTGATTTTCCAGCTCCCAAAGAGCAACTGGCTCGATGTTTGCTTGCTTTTTTCGGAAGGTGGTTCAGTTGTGCAGTCTTCCTATGTATTCTTCACACATTGTTTGTTCATTGAGACCAACGCTTGCAAAACCTTTGAGTGAGACCAACCCTCAAAGTTTTTGCTTGCAACCGGACCACGATGGTGCCCAATCATAGTGATATGCAGTCCCTGTGCGCCTATCTAGGATGGGTCTAGCTAGGATCAGACCGAAGTTTGGCTCAATTTGGGAAGACCGGACCGAGGCCGAAGTGAGCCTTCAAGAGAGGATGAAGTCATGGACAGGGTATGCACAGATCCCCCCATTGAAGTGATGGGGATATATACATATATATATATAGGACGGCATATCGAGGAATACCCTCTAATGGGCTCAGCTATAAATGATTGGGCCCAGCAACGAAAGACCTATCTTCAATAGGTCTTCAATAGGTCTTTTGGACTTCGAGGCAGTGGTTTGGTGCTACTTTGAAAATGTTCAAACCAAACTTTCAGAGAAAGGCCCTAAGAGTCCGGGTTGTTGAGGTTCCGGACAATGATGCGGATATAAATGGATACAAAAAGTAATATAAATCATAACATAACTATAACTAGACAATATATTACTATATAATGTTTTGTACATTACGGAGACTCCAGGAATTCCTGTAATTACAGTAATTTATAGTAATTTGAACATCGGTCCCAATCTGGGCCTTCAAGAAGTCAATTCTACCCCTAAAAACTGAGGCTCCAAGAACGCCGATCTGAAAAAGGCCTTGAGGTCCCTCACTTCCTGGACCGCTTCCCCCAGGATTGCGAGGCGACTTCGCGCCTGGTGCCAGCGTGGAGAAGTCATAGCTGGCCAAGGCATGAAGCTGTTCGATGAATTTCAGGAGCATCGACCTGTGAGCAGCATGGCTCTTGAGGGTCGCGAGAGCAGACCGCGCGCGGAGGTAGGAGCTGCCAGGTTCCATTTCTAAGGTACGACCTGGCAAGTACTGAGAAAACACCTCCTGAAAACACCAATGTGAACGTTTCCATCGCTTCCTAGCCCACCAACTCCTTAGTCTCAGACGACCGACTCCGCGAAGACCAGGGCCAGGGGGTCACAAAGGGGTGCCCATAAAACCACTCACTTAAGGGAAAATCCATTTGGCACCCCTTGGATCCTGGACTTGCGTCTTTTCCACGGTTTTCCATGATTTCCAAGGAGTGTATCGAAGAGCACCAGCACCACGCGGAGGAGATGCAAAGATGGTCTTTGAATCCCCAAACCATTCCAAACCGCCTGTCAAGGTGCCTTCAGGGAGCCCTAGGGCAAAGAAATCTTCCAAGAAACATCCGCCCAAAGAATGGAGCGATTCATCAAGCGTTCACATGACCCTCTTTCTTTCGGTGATGCGTTTCCTCAACGCGTTGTCCGTGCGTTCGGGTCCTGGAGTTGTGGAGATCCGTATCGATCGTATTGGCTGGTCCAGGACACCCAGGTCCTGATGTCCGGCCCCTCCCCACACGGTACCGTTCGCTCTCCGCGCGATGCTCGTGTTGGGCCGCCCAGTCGCTTGATCGACTCGGGCGAACTCACCACAATGCCACAAGCTCTACGGCAAGCCTGGCAGGAAGTGGGGCACCGAGTTGGGCATCAATCACCCGCCATGGCCAGAAGTTGGGGTTTCTCCTGAACCAAACCCTCAAGTTGATGGTTTGGTACTGCTGAAAGGAGGAGTTCCAACTTAGGGCTGGATGATGATCCCCATCCTGGTCCATCGCCTTGTACCCCAAAAGATACCGATAACCAGGACCGAAAATGGCCCAGCGTCCATGGCGCGCAAGCTGGTGAACCGCAGGAAAGGGGGTCTTCTCCGGCCATGGTCCCCCGGCAAGACTTGAATGGCCCCCTCCCCGCTCTTTCGAAGAGTGATGGACACCAGGCTTGGCTCCATGCTGGGCTGAACTTCCAAGTGCCAGGATTCACATGTCGGGGTGGTGTGAAACGTCCCATCCAGGGGCTGTGGATGTGACAGGGGCACCCCGACTACCTCCGATCGCACCCGTTTGTGACTGCTGGTGGGCTGCAGTTCATCGCCCCACGCCCCACGTGGCACCGAACCCTGCCGACCGGTGCTCCATCCGACCGGTCGGCGCATCGGACGGGCCGCACCACGAAAGGAGAAGTAGAGTGACTAGCTTGACCCCCTTTCGGCTTCCGGACTATCCAAACATGACCTCGTTGAGGAAAAGGCTGTCTTTTGGAGAGTTGATCCTCCAAAAGAGGGGTCACTCAGGTTCTAGGCAGAGTGAGGCAAAGATTCTAACATCCAAGCAGTGCTTTTGCTGCGCTTTATCCTAGAAGAACACATAGAACTTTCATGAACATTTCTGTTTGATTGGATGCCAAACCGGTTTTTGACTCATGAAATCACTGATTGAACACCAGTACCGGACTCTTCTTCGGGCCGTCACCTTCCGTCTTTGGTGGCCCAAACCCCGAGAAAAAGGGACACGAATCGGCCTCAAGCTTTGTGTAGATCTTCATGATGGTCTCAGGGCAATCGTCCACCTGCCGGTCGAACTGAAAGGTCACGATGCCTCGGCAGGATGGGAGGAGCTCAGATATCCTCTTCGGTCAGCTGACCCGCGCAACGGCGCAACGAAAAGAGTCACAACTCGCTCTTTTGAGATCCAACAAATAAATCCAGGATGACCCAGTCGACCATCAGGGGAAAGCTATCCGTACCGTACCATCAGGGAACATAATGCTTCGGTACAGGATGAACATCTAATGCTTAAGATCTCATTGCTCATCTTAGATCTCTGAGAAAATCTAAAATAAGAGTATCTCCTGTTAGATGGGCTTGGCAGACCATCCTATGGATGTTGGAGATTCCTAAGTCGTGTATAGTAGTTCAGTCAGGAGACCCCATAAAGACAGCTCTGGATATCAAAAAGTCTTGCCCAAACGGCCCAAACGCTCCTGCACTTAGTGAGGGTCTGGAGGTTTCTCACCCAATCCCTGGTTTGGAGGGACCGGGAAAGAAGGAGGTGAACGGAGCGGACCCCACCCAGCTCCGGGCCCTCAGATGCGTCGCCGAATCCGGACCCCGTCCGGAGTCTCAGTGGGCGAGGACCATCAAACCCTTCTAATTGAGACCTCAAAGGCGTTTCCAGACGCCTGCGCCTGGAGGTTGGGATCGATGAATGTTCTGTTCCCATTGTTCCCAAGTTGTTTGAGGAGTTGAGGAGTCGACGAGACTCATGCGGGGTTTCGTTGTTTGCAGGGGTCCTGTCCCAATTTCTAGGGCACGAATTTGTTGGTCCAGGTAATCACTGAGAAAAACACCTGTGAGTCCTGATATTAAAAGAGAAGAAATACCGCTTTGGCGTGGTTCCTGCCCTGACCGTCAGTGAACACCTCACCTCACACTCAAGTTCATCCCTCAGTCCAAAAGCCAAAAAACTCACCAAGTGACAGATCCCACCTCTCAGCTGACGAATTCTCCAGTGCTTCAACAGCTGCATGCTGCCCACCTCCACCCTCCGCCTGCTTAAGCGCCGGCCCTCGCGACGCCCCACCCTCCTACACCCCGAGCTCCCCGCCTTCCGCGCGGACGTTCCCTCACGCGTGGGGAACACGCGACCGTATTCGTCCTCGCATGGGTGTCGCCAAAGCACGCTTGGGCATGAGCTTGGAGAAGGACGCCCGCAGAATCTGCCGGCTTTGATCCAACAGGGGACCTCGAAGGCGGGGCGGGGACCACACGGTAGGATGGTACCGGGTGTGGGAACCGACGAACCGATCGGCGCAGGAAGATCGAGTATCTGGACGGCGTGGTCGAGGTGTGGAAACGTCCAAATGGTCACCCTCTTCATGCGGCTTTTTCTTCGGTCTCCGTACCTCGGTGCGTTGGACCCTGGAAACTCATCCCAAACACTTTCGAAGGTACGACTGGAGCCCTAGGAACAGCACCAATGCCTCTGGACCGATCCCTACCACCTGCATCGCACCTGCGCTTGCAGGCGCAACCCAGGAAGTGGTAGTGGAGTGCAGAAGAGATGGCACATTCAGTACCTAAGGTTGGTGGTTTATATGGATCCCATTATCCCATTCATATCCATTCATCTAAAAGACTTCTTGGGGGTTGCACCATCGACTCTGAAGCCACCGCAACGGCCCGCTGGAAAAGGGGGTAAGAATTCAAGGCAAATTCTCTGGCATCTCCTCCCTGGAGTCCCCGAAGAATCGTGGAAAGGGTTCGAGGCTCGTGTTGCCATGTTCTGAGAACAAATCGTCAAAGCCAGGAAATTTGCGCTTGGTACGACTCTCCATCTCCGCCCCTGGGTTAGTTAGAATGGAGACATCACCGCTCCACAGCCCACAAGATAGCAAACCAAGCGAAACAAAGCAACATGATTCTGCCAACACACGGGGCTTGGGTGGTTTTGTTTGACACCCTTTAGACTATGTCTTTTCCTTCCAATCACCACCCTAACTGGCTGAATTGCGTTCCTTTTTAACCACCCGTGCAGGTTTGCGAGACGCCGGCACGCGGCGCGTGGCACGTTAAAACCGGGGCACTAGGCATGACCTGCGTCACCAAGACATCTGGCTGACTGAGCATGGTCGACAGTAAGGGGCCCACCACCTGGCTGTGAGCTTCGTGGCCACAGGGGCCCGAAACCAGGAGCCACACTCAATGTTTGGAGGCGGATGACCGGGGAGCCTGTGGAACTGTAGAATTCCGGGTTCGGACGTGCCAGTTTCGAAGGTGCAAGCTGGAGAGTCCAATATGCGGAATTTGGAAGATAGGGGTGCCCCTGTCACATCCACTCACTGGATGCTAAAACCACCCCTATCGCACTCCTGGTGTTTTCAATATTTGGACCCACATGCCGCAGGTTGACACCATCCGCTGGGTTCGGTTCACTGCAAGATTTGCTCAATTGGAACGGTTGGCTGGTGAACAACCATTTTAAGGAAGACACACACACCTACCAAGTGGTGACTTGACCAGACACTGAATGGCCAAATGCCATGGTAGGAGGGTGTCTTCACGGGCTTTTGTCGACCAAACCCGGCACTAAAAGCGCCATAAATCTGTATGCCGCAATTGGGGGGCACTTGGAGGCTGACCCACACACACACACACTCCCTTTTTGGATTTTTGCACAGAGTTTTGTTGTCCTTTCTTCCACCCTGTTGGAACTACTGACACTAATTGCCATGGTGCAAGCAACACACAACATAACCCACAACAACTTGCAAGCGTATCCGGAGGCACGCCTAGCGGAGTTTCTGTGTTCTGGCTTTGCTGCGGCCAAGCGACATTGACCCCAATGCCCAAGCACTGTCGATCATCGATTACAAACAAAGGATCAATACAGTACATGTGCTGGACCCCAAAACATACAATCAAGCAAACTGGACCCATCGGCAGCCAAACCACTGTGGTCTTGCCAGCACCCATGATCATCTGCTGAACTCTTGACTCGCCCTCTTTGTAGCTCTGCATAAACCTCAGCTACCAAATCGAACCATGTTGATCCATTTTCGTTTTCCAATGCGGCAAGCCGACTTCAGTTCTCAAGGGCCGAGCAGGGCCATATTCCGGAGAGCCGCACAAAGTTCATGAACAACTTATATACATGCCCAGGCTTACCAGGACGCAGGCTCCGACACGCGAAGTGATCCCAGCTCATGATTCTTGTCAAACGCTGGGTTGCTGACTCCCACACCTATGTCCAGACTCAGACTGGGCTACCTACCTGGCAAGTCTACAACACAACGGCGAACTTCAGCAGTCTCCGAGGTGGTCTTGGCAGACCCTGTGGACACGATGAAAGATCACAAGCAAGCGCTGAGAGTTGTTGTTAAATTTCAAGGGCACATGGCAGAATCTGATCGCAGCCACGCACCTGACGCGCTATGGAAAGTGGAAAGTGCACACGGAAGGCCGCACTGCACCCGGCCAGACTACAAGAGCGGGACACGTAGGCAGATAACCCGCACAGCAGCATGGATACTGCAACCATGGGCCGGCTCTTGGACCTACAACGCTGTGAGGAGGCAACAAAGGTCCAACGGAGGGAAGTCCACGTTCACGATGCCCTGAATCCCACGTTCATGACAGCCATGCGCCTTTTTGCAGGTTTCCATGCTTGCAACAACCGGCAACAGTCGGGTGGGTTGCGGTGCTCGCTTCTGAAGCAAACTTAACCGGGGAAGATCCATGTGGAACAGTTATGAACATTTGGGGCTGGCTTCACTGAATTTAAGTATCAGAAAACCTGTGCAGGATTTTTTATTGACACTTTCCCTCGTCTTAAAGCGTGTTTACGCAGGGGTTAAATGGTGTGAGCACTGGCCACAAAGAAAATTGCTGTAGAGCTGAGCTCAGAGTCCCCGAGTCCCCGGGCAGGTCTGAGTCCCCGGATTAGCATGGCGCGGTCTGAGTCCGACCAGCGGCCGCGGCCAGCGGGAACGGTCGGTCAGGTAGGTGGCCCCAGGAGAACGTACAAGACAACACATGTAGATACACGTACAGTGGATCGGGACGGCACAATCACCAAAAGGCGGTTTATATGGATCCCTATCTAAAAGGCATCTTGGGGTTTGTGCCATCTACTCTGAAACCACTGTAGTATGGTAGGTGGCCCCAGGACCTTCCTGTCGAGGTTTTTTTAGGCCGCCTCTGGCAGAGGTGTCAGGAGTGTTCCAAAACCACCGAACTTGGAAGGTCCGGGTATGTATGATGTTCGATTCGCAGGATTCAATTCAGGGATTGTGGGTCCCGAACCTGGAAGAGGGGTTCCTGGCCTTGGAGGCTCTCTGTTTGGTGTCGCTCACGCCCATTCAGCATTCAGAACATCGCCCCACATTCGGCAGCTCACACCCACTGGCACCAGACTCAATGTCTTTTCCGCCTGAAATTGGGTGACACAGGGTAACATGGGTGACCTGTATATTCTTGGTGGAAAGGAATGTCAACAGCAACTAACTCCCTTTGAATGTATTGGAGGCGCACATAATGAATTAGTCTACCTGGTTACCTGGACCTTCCAGAGTACCCAGAAATGGGACAGGACCTCACAAAAGCGCGACTGTACACATGTTGCAAGGTATTTTCATGGAGGGTCCAAGTACTGTGTTGCACATGTCTGCCCTGACGATGGGAAGGAAAATAGACCAAAACATGTTGGTTGGGTGTCTCTCCATTAAATTTACACACCCCAAATGAAACAGAACCTGTGACGCCTCATCTGTGCAGTCTTCCAGCATTCCTCTTGACAGATCCGTCGAAGGTGCAGCTTTGGACAGCATGAACAGTAGATTCAAAATTTGCTGTCCAGTAAAGGAGAAATAATTAAACATCTATAATAATACAATATATATATATATATATATGTCCCCATGCCTGGGGATTGACCCAGTTCGGGAACATAAACATTCTCCAGATACCCTACATGTCCAAAGACTACTTAGCTCCATTAAGTAAAGGAAGTTCTTCGAATACCGAGTCAGAGCATTTAGAATTTGTCTCGGACTGCCAGGGGTTTTCAGCCAAACCAGGGTAGGTTCAGGATTAGAAGCACCGATTGAAGCCTTTGGAGGCCCATGTTGAAGCCTTTGGACCCTTCAAAATTGGACAAATTGGACATGGAGAGACGGACATCGAATGTGTTTTCAATCTTCCAGAGCACTGACAGCCTTCTTCAAGCTTCGCTGTTTCATCCACACTCAAGGAACGTTCGTCTGTGGACACCATGTCTTATTTGTTCGGGGTCGTAGATGAATCAAACATCAAGGTTACAAGATTGCTGCCTACTGTAGCTAGAGAATGTTGCATTCTCCAGTTAGAGTTCCTTTTTCTTTGCACTCGCCAACTCAATCAAAGATAATCAAAGCCATGATCTCAGTGACAGGGGGGAAGAGTCTTCAGTTGTCCGGCCATGTTAGTTCCACGAAACCCGGGACTTCAATGAAATAGACATGCTTAGTGCATCCACCATCCTTTCCTGGCAAAGGGGGAGTTCATTGCCTACCGGTTGAGTGTGCTGGCAACTTTGCAGATCACCAAAAACGCCCCCTGACCAGAACAACAAACCACACCAAAACCCCAAACAAAACAAAACACCCAAACACAAGGCTTGACCGTACCCAGCCGTTGGGCTCGTGGGCCCTTTGTGCATCCGACGTCCGGCGATCGCGGAGATCCCCCCGCGTCGCGCATCACCAAGGTGCCAATCGACCATCTCCACTTGGCGCGGGCGCAAGACGATGTGCTGCATGAACTCAAAGAGGAGAAAGCCTCGGCCAGCTGGGCCCCAAGAAGGGAACGTACCTCATATCACCTCACAATCCGAAGAAAAGCATCTGCCAGCTTCGAAAGATGGGCCCTTTTAAGGGCTGGTTCTAGCAGGTCTGATTCCTGCCATATTGGAACCTGAAAATAAAGACATGATAGGTGTTCAAAGGACTTCACCTTGGCATCCTGGTCGCGATGGGTTGCGTGTAACGTGGAAAACGTCGTTCTGCATGTACCAGCGACTCATTTGGGTTTGGGTTTTGATAGGGAAACCCACCGCCAATAGGTTGTGGTGGGGGTCTCCCTATTAAAATGCACTCCCATTGGTGAATTACAGCCCAGCTCACCCGTGCGTTCCTCCGAGTGATGAGTTATTCAGGAGTCGCAGAACTCGACTTGGGCTGTTTTCAGAGTGCAACTGGTAGAGAGATCGGTGCCAGGTACATATATATACTTGTTGGTTGTACACCAATTTGGGATATCCCCTCTATAATCAACGTAGATCAGGCCTATGACGGAGCCTGGGCCACGGGCGACGGGCCACAAGCTGCCCAGTGACGTGGATCCAAGACGAACTGATCAGCCTCCTGCCCCGCCGCTCGTGCCCCGCTCGTCGCCCTTCGTCTCAGAGAGGATGGTTCAGTCTGGGAAGCTCCTTGCTCCTAGTAGCGATGCCAGGAGCCCCGATCGTAGCTCTAGTAGTAAGGCCAGGAGCCCCGATCGTAGCGTCCTTGCCCAAATTGCGTCCTTTCCGTAGTGAAGAGAGAGTTACTATCCAGGTTGCATCAGAGGAGAACGGTACCGCCAAGTTATCATACTTAACTGTGCCAGCCCGCATAGTTTGATCTGGGGAGGTCACCTGTGTCACTGTCTCTAGAGGAGAGACAAAGGATTTGACACATTGTGGATAGACCAATGCCCGAGTCAAGTGTCCCTTTCTGGCTCAAGCTGTGTGAGGCACTCATGTCTTCTGAATTGGCGCTGAGATGCTCGGACGGAATGAGTGAGTTCGGTATTCGGAAACAGAATGGCCACGGAGAAGCGTTTAAATGTTGATTCTGCTATAGTAGATGAGTTCTTTACGAAAGACAGAGGGTATACCCTTGGACGCCAAAGCATGTCAAAGTTCCACTGATGAGACCCAGCCCTGCCCTATCAAATACTTGCGAGTCAACCAACACTCTAAAAACAGCCGGCAACATGAACCTCGCACCGCCTCGCAGCACACATGAATTGGGGACGCGCTCTACCATGAAATGCTTTAGCCATAATGTCCAAAAGAACTGGGTTTGTGCTATACCTTGTCAACCCTGAGCCTTGTGATTTGCCACGGGTTTGTTTGTATTTTGCCACACCTTTGCCACGCTGGCATATTTGTTTGCCACGCCTTTGCCACGCCCGAGCTTTAGCTTTGCCACGCCTGAGTTTTAGATTTGCCACCCCCGAGCTTTAGCTTCGCCACACCTAAGTTTTAGATTTGCCATGCCCGAGCTTTAGCTTCGCCACACCTAAGTTTTAGATTTGCCACGCCTTTGCTTAACATTTTGCTAAAGTTTAACTGTATTGGGAAACCTCATGCTGGTGCGGCCGCCAGGCTTTTGTAGGTGTGTGTGTAGAACTGCTGCCAGCTCATGCTTCTATGGCATTCTATGGATTATTGATTGCCCGTGGATCCTGGGGCTTTGGTGGGTTCTTTGGCTTTTGGCTACTATGGCTTCTGCGGCTTCTGCGGCTTTTGGCATTTGGCTTTTGTGGTTTGTGTGGCAATCTCCAACCTCCAGAAGGACCTACTGTGACTTCTTTGGCGTTTGTGCCTTTTGGCTTGTGTGGCTGTGGGCATTTAGTGAGTGTTGAGTTCGGTGGTTTCTGCGGCCTTTGGCTTTTGGTGCCTTTGTGTTGGCTTTGGTGTTTGATTGCTTTAATTTAAAATTAGTAAGTTAAAGTCACTAACCTTCCACAATGTGTGCATTGTAAGGAGAAGCATCTTTGCTATCCTTGCGACAGCTCAAACAAGAGACAACTGAGACCCTGGAAGCGTTTTGTTTTCTCGCACGATCCCAAGCTCAAAAATCACAGTAGTAGTTTACTGTGAGTTCATGTACTTCACCCACTCAGATTTCTTGGAGCGCTGTGGGTCCATAGCCGCTGTCAAGAGGTCTGCGCTGCTGATAGATGGCTTGAACTTTCGGACCATAATGCCCTGCACACATCTAGTGATATCCTTCGCGAGAGTTTCCTGGCTTTGGTTCTTGTCTTCTTTGCGGCTGACTGTGGAAAGTACCTCAGTTTGTGCACGCATTGCTACTGAAGAACAACATTCTAGATTCTAGATTCTAGATTGGGATTGATTTGAAAATGTCAATCGTAGCCAGTTCAGTACAAAGTTCAAAGTACTAAGTCTAAGTCTAAGTCTTCAGAACTTCAGAACACACTCAACACACTCGTTTGACTCAGGGTGTTGCAAGGAGGTCTGCCAAAACCAGCTTCAGCTCAATGAATCGGCTGCCCAAACCATCCCACTGGAACTCATCCACATTCTTTTGGAGATCCTTCAGCATGCATGTCTCACGGTCCACACCATGTGTCTCCAAACCCTTCAATGCTTGTGTAAGCTTCACGTGACTCTTCTCCACGGCAACATGGCATACAAGGAGTCTGTTGACGCTCATGTAGAAGAAGTCAGTGATGTCCTCTTTCACAACATTGAAGAACTGATTGGGTTTGCCACCGAGGCGTTCATTGAAGCTTCCGGAAGACCGAGCAGTGGCACACAGATCCAACATGTCGTTGAGCAATGGAGCATTGGACTTCTTGACAATGCCCACAATGCGCTCCACACAATTCATGAGCTCTGCCTTCACTTCATTAAATGCCGAAGCAAGAGTCTCAATCAACTCCTTGCAGCACTCAGAGCAAAGGGCTTTGATGCGGGTGGCTTCTTCTTCTGAGACAGACTCAAGCTGCTTGCCCCCAACATTTTTCTGGAAAGCGGAAAGCAAGGAGCATGCCTGAGGAAAGCAATCCAGCATATCATTGATCTTGCTCACTCTGGCACTTTGCACGTCTTTGAGCTCCTCTTGTCTCGAAGCAGATTGAATGCGGCCAGCCAACGTATCAGCCTGGAGTGCAGAGGCAAGAGCATCCTTCTTGCTGAGCAATTCATCAATCAGCGCGAAAGAATGGATGAGCAAGCAAACTCCCTTGACCGTTGCCGTCCCGCTGGCAAAACTCAGCTCATGGTCTCTTGAGTGTCCTGGGAAGTAGGTCTCGACAAACGCCTGCACAAGAAAAGCCTTTGGAAGGATGGCTTCTGGGCTTCAATCCAAATGCCTGTCTGCTGATGAACTCCTTCACATCCACTGATGTGCCGAGGATTCCCGTCAGAAAATTGTGCATTGGTGTCAACCTAATTGTCCAAAAGCAACAGAGAAACCATGAATGACCGAAAATGACATTGAGATTGACATAGACTCAGACTCAGACATTGCATGAAACAGTCTTCCATCACATCACACACCTCATGTGTGCCCTTTGTTGAACCTTTAGTTGAGTTCAAAAATTGGAAACTTAGTTTGTTTAGCAAATTTGCTTCTATCATGTCTACCAGCCAAAAGTATAAGTATAGTATAGCTGCATAGCTTAGTATAGTTAGTATAGTATAGTCTTAGTGTAGTATATTTATATAGTATAATCAGTATACATCATATGTCGTATGAAGTTGTACGATTGTTACATCAATGTTAGATTTTAGAGTCTAGAGATTGAAACTGTGTTAGTTTTTCGTTTGCTTGCTTGTTGTTTTTCGTTCTCTAAACTCACTGACTGAGCAACGTAGTGCATAGGGCCATCTTGGCACCTGCACCCAGCCAGGAACGGAGCTTTGCGCTGGAACATGTATTCAATGAAGGACCCAAGTCGCTCATCTTCAGTGACAACATCGCTCGATTCTTGTCCTGACCCTCCATCTTGTCCAAAATGCTCAGTAGATCAAAAAGAGCACTGAAGTGGAGACAATAGTAGGACAGGTCCTGCGAAGAAGATTCCAACAGCCCCTTCCTTGGGATGTGGCCGAGAGCCCAAAGTTTCAGTCAAATGATTCGACTCAAACCAGAAGGAGAGGCGGCTAGCGGCTAGAACATATGACTCATATTAATGAATGTAATAATTAATAACATCAATAATCATATAAATTAAATAAACTAAACAAAATGGTAACTGAGAAAGCAAACAAGCTTCAACCACTCAGCCAGGACTGCACAGCGAGCCAGCAAGGTTGTTAAGGGCTGCATGAAGCAATCTTGAAAGTCCTTGTGCACATCGCTGCCCAAAGCTCCAGTGATGTCAAAGGAGAAGAGATGGTTGAAGTTCATGTTCACTAGCTTTTGCAGCCCTGACATTGCTTCACCCCAGTCAGGCACACCTGAAGGCTTTTCCCCGCCAAGTAGCAAAGCAAGTGCTCTTTCCAAAGTAGGAACAGCTCCGCGCAGAGCAAGAATAAAGCCTTCCTTCAGCACTACAGCCAGCTGATCTTGCTTGTGTTTGATGGCATCGAATTCTTGGTCATGATTGGCCACAAAGACAGGGTTCGCCGATGATGCAATCATGTTGACCTTCGCAGCCAATGAACTCCACTTGGCCTGGTGTTGCAGGCCGACAGTGCCATCTGTGCTCAGCAGGTCTTTAGCACTTGGCACATCAAGAGAGTGCATGATCTCAGTCCTAAGGCATTGACTTGACTTAACTCCAAAAGAATCACAGTGCACTTTCTGTCACAATGGGAAACATTCAATACAACGCATATGGCATTACGTACCATTTATTTCTTGACTGGATATGAAATCATCCATACGCCGTGCAGACAAGAGTCGCAACTTTCAAACCAGAAACCCATGTCATGCTGAGATGGAAGCTCGCCAGACAATCCTGCACACTCTCCATCATCCAGATTCCAAGCGGGAATGCTGTTGTGCATTTCAGGAATTTGGACGCCTTCTGGTTGAGCATTGTTCGAGCTTTCTCCGCTCGAGTTGCGGACTCCTGGATCACTTCTTCAGAGTTCTGCACAAAGGAGCAAAGTGTCTCCAGCTCAAGCAACTGTGAGGTCAACTCTTGCAATGAATCACGTTTCCAAAGTGTGGAGTTTTTCAACAACCCGACAAACTCCGCAATCTTCAGACATCGCTCTTTCCCAGTCAGGCTGCTAGCCTTTTCATCAGTGGGCAAAGTCATTCTCATCAATGATTCCACTGTATGAATCAGGGTCCGTTGGGTGATTTCTTCCCTGGACTCCTCTTTCAGGTTGCCAAGGCCACTCTCCAGCTTGGAGAGGAGCTCAGAGAATTCAAATTGCTCGGCAACCATTGTCAGCTCACGTACTGCCAATATGTCGTCCACATGGGTAGCAACAGTCACGCCTTCTTTCCGGCATCCCTTCAGTGCCTTGCTCAGTGTTTCAAAGTGAAATTGATCACCGGATGTGGCTGCAAGGGCAGTGATCAACGGAATGCATGCCTGCAGCTTGCCGCGCAGGACCCGTGCTGTTGAAACAACAGATATGCTGCGATCATCAGGGTTGTCGGTCAAGCACTGGCCGATGATTTCTGGGGTCAGCCGGGCGTTCAGCTTTTGCGAGACTGTGTTGATCTTAGCTTCAGTCACCTGC